TTAAAGTCATAATAACTCTTCGTTTTGGCCAAAAATTGGATTTTCCTGGAAAAAACGGCAATTTTCCCGTACTTACCAATGGTCAACGACCCCATTCCTGCATTCAAAGTTAATCCAGGGTTTTTTTCCTAAACGTACGGTTTTTTGTTAAAATCTCTTAAGAGATTTTAACTGACGGAGCTCTCTCTGACATTGCAAAGTCACTGGTGACCTACTTAAAACCGCGGGAAAAGCAGACAACAACAACACTATATAAGATTCATGAGATATATTCGTCTTTTTGTTAAAAATGCATTTATATCCACAATGTGTGCCATTCTGGGCTTTTTGTTATCCGACGCACTGTACAAAAACTCGCAACTTACGTCTGCGTCCGCATTAATGTGCTTGGCGCCATGTTATTTTGGTCTCGAATGAACACGAGAATCCGCGTGACACCATTACGTCATTAGCAACGAATGCCTTGATGACTGGGAAAAATGGCATCAAAAGCCCCATTGACAAGCACAGATTTTAGTTTTACTCCAATAACGGCCGTTTTAGTGGTAAAATACGATAGAATATATTTCCATGCGTTGTTTAAAATGTATTTCATGCGGAATTTTGAATCTCAAAGGAAGAGTTATTATTGCTTTAAATTAAAGCTGGTTTTGAGAAGGAATGGAAGTTTACATTTTAGAAGAGACATGATTTTTTGTTTATTATTTGGCATGTTTTCTGTTTTAAAAATCAGTGATATTAGTATTGTACTTATTTTTCTGTGGTTAAAGAAAAATGATTTGGTGCCTTATCAGTTCCCGTCATGATACGAATGATATTGGAACTTCTTTCAAGCACAGAAACTGCAACAAAGCCAGACTTCTCCATACAGACCACTTGAACTTACAATTAATTTGACAATAAAGAAATGAATTAATAAATAATTTCAAAATAAAAATACAATATGACCTCCATTTAATTAAATGTCTCTCTCTATTACCTTACAGCAACAGTGCCATCACAACAAGCTCCTCAAAAGACTGAACCTGTAACAAGCCGGTCTGTGCCGCAACCTGCCGTAAACGCTGCTGCACCACCAGGTCAACGTCTACCCACAACGTGAGTTCTTAAAGTATAGAGGTCATTCTACACTGTTAATACAGGCCCATAGCCAGGGGGTTCAGGGAATTGGTCTGGGTAAATTTGATCCATGGACATGAAGGTTTCATGGTTAAAGGTCCATTTTTTTATTTCAGAAAAAGAACTCCCCTTAGAACTAAGTGGCTAAGGGTCTGTAATATTTATTTATTTATTTAATTTTTTAAGTTAAGATAATTCAATTTTTACAAATAAGTGAAAAAAAAATGGGGCAGGGATAAGCATTAAATAAATTACAGGAAATAAATAGTACTGGTAAACACTGAATTGTGTAACATATACAGAAATATTTATATTACAATGATACTTTTGTCACATTTTATTTATTTATTTATTTATTTATTTATTTATTTATTTATCTTTTGTCAGCCATACATGGACATTTGTTGCATGATAATAAAATAAACATACAAATTGAATCTTTGTTTCTTTTCAGTCCTGTCAATCTAGGCATATGCAATCTCACAAAATCATCCATGACACAAAGACACATGCCGCATTGTTTTATGATATGTGATTGTTTCTTTTCAGTCCGGTCAAACTAGGCATTTCCAAACTCACCCAGACCACTATCCCACCCAAAGAACACATCACTTATAGCAAGGAGACACAGACCATCAATGATAGCATACATGACAGAGATGGTAAGTGTTGGAACAGATATATGGCCATTCAACAAATATATTTTAAACAGATTCTGAGCTTGTGTATATCTTCAAGCATTCTGGGTGTTAATTTTCTTAAGATTGAAGAAGTTAAAGTGTTTTTAAATAGTGAAAAAATTTCAAGTAACTTTTACAAAATAACAAAAGATTTGAATTACTTGGATAAGGTGTGCACTCATAAATATTATGCCATGTGTGAAGCTTTCTTGATCAATAATTGAAACTATATTCTACAAAATGTTATTGTGAATGGTTTATATTTGTTCTTATATTAGATATAATCAACATTTTCCTGTGAGTGTCATTTAAATTTGTATTAAGAATGTTTATTTGTTATTCAGTTTTAACAATTCTGTGCATTTTGAATATTTGTAAGTTATTTGTTTGCTTTGGCTTTTCACTCTATTTTTTGCATCATAACCCATCCTTACTGATCAATATTATAATACCAACATATCCCATTAACACTATACTGAAAATCCAACTTATCTTTCATAATATGGCAATTAAAAACAGAAAAGAAAAATGAACTTTATTGCAAGATTTTTCTATTTTCCTAATTTCATCTTATAAGAAATAACATATTTAGAGTAATGAGACATGCATCACAAAATATTTCCTAAGATATTGAATGCTCAAATAGAGTTCACAGTTGTTAAATCGATATCATGGTATTACCATTCACTATATAATATGAACTTTTTGTCCAAGATTAGTGGTAACCCTTTATATTCCCACAAGCTAATTGTTACCATAATGAAAACCTGTTTTGCAAACTTAACATTTTTCTGGCTAGGCTGGTGCTATACGTCCCCACTGTACTGTAAAACATAGAAGTCATAACAATGAGAGGGAAACCCCATTAAGTTATCTCCTGTGATGATTCTGCTACAAAGTCTTTATATGTATAAAATTAAAATTACCAGTGATGCTGTTGAATTTCTTTTCTCTAAACTTGAGTTGATAAGCATTTTGAGTTTGTTCAAGCACCCTCAGTTTGAGCAAAAATGTTCCAGGTTGGCCATAAGCTAACATTATAAAAGTATTTCGGCTCGTGTTTGATAATTTTCATTTATTACCCTCAGTTTGTTTTTCTGCTGTCAAGTCTGGTGTGTTCAGACAGGACTAACTATGGTTATTGTCCTAATGTGTGTCCTCAGACAGCCAGGCTACAAACAAACTATTATGTCCTTGGAATCTGGGGATGGTTTCATAAAACTATTGTTTACTGATATTTTGCTTTGATTCTGAAGACTAGAATTATATTAACTTTATGAAACATTTGCTTTTTCTATAGTTTGCTAAAAGTTCCAAAGCTGTTCCCTTGACAGTTTTATGAATGGTCTAACCCACTAAATAATCGAATAGTGTAATGTTACATTTAGCATCAAGGAATCAAATTGACTTTGCACAAGTTGCCATGTACCTGGAATTCTGATAAAAAATCCTAAGTCAGCAAGGATAGCTTTGTGAAACCACCACCAGATGTGAAAGTGAGACCTAAATTCTTTTTGAAATATAGTCCTAGTCTGAAAACAAATGTAGTTAAATACAGTTAATACCATAATTACTCTGTCTTTCCAATTGGGGGAAATTGTGAATTTTACAGGTACTGTATTTTTTAAAGTCTAGTTCCTTTAAATTAGAACGTTCCTATTGAGTGGTAGCAAGAAAATAAAAAAGCAGGCTACTTTATAGTTGTATTCTATGCTGTAAAAGCTCCACAATTGCTACACTGAAATATATATGTATCTTTTTATTTTGAGGAAATTATGTATCTGAAAGTTTGATTATTTTGTCCATTGGAAAGATTGAGTAATTACAGTAAGTTTTATATATTTATATATAAATGATATGCTTATCCTATGCCTTACAAAGGGAGAGGACCTTGGGATTACTATGGTAAGTAATAGAACATTTGATTATACTGGATAAATATTATGTACATAGACTTTGCTTCTTGTGAGAAATTCACATGTTGCTCATTTCTGTAAAATTGTTTGATTGCATTTTTATTCATGAGAGAATTAGACCAAATATCTCTGGAAATCTTTCAAATATTTTGGTCGTTTTACAACTTGATTTTTTTCTAAAAGGAGAAATGGATGAGGAATACAAATCATAGCTATTTCAGAAAAAATCCTAGCATGATAATTTTATGAATATTTCATTGTAGTAGTACATGAATATGAAAATGATGAAACTAGTCGTTGGTTGGTCTAGTGCTCTCTTTATTCAACTGATGCAATATTCAGAAGCCCAAAATTAACGCACCTTCCAATACTACTCTTACAATAAGTCAAGTTGTCGAAGTAGTTTTTTTTATAAGGCGGGGGAAAACATCTTAAGATTATAGCAGAGGTATTCCAGGTTGTTGTCTTGTGTATTATTTATAGCAATTTTTTCACTGAGTATGTGTGGTGTTTGGTTGTGTAGGATTAGTTGACGTTGTTTACTTTATTCTAGATTAATATCTGTTTTTGTTTTGTATAGGTTAAGGGAATTATCTAAATCAGGGTACCTAGTAAATGGAAAATATGTAGTTTTTCTGGTAAAAGAACAATGATATTTGCTTCTTTTTATTTTATTTTTATCAAAATGAAGTATGTAAGGTATTATAACTGATACAAGCCCAAAGACTTTTTAACATTTATTTATTTGGGTCATTGATGAAGCATTGATGACACATTTTATTTAGAAAAATTATAGTTAGGAAATGTTATAAAAGTATGTCCAAAAAAGCAATTAAAAAAAAATTGAATGTCTTTTTGTAGATATAGAAAAGGCATGAGTGTGTACATAGAGATTAGTGTAAAAAAAAAAAGCACTTGCTATGAATTCAAAAATGCAATCAAAATTCAATTGCAATTTTCTTCACATCATAAGAACTTACACTTTAGTCAATGATTTGTAGATGACAAACTCCATCGCCTCCATCATGTCAGTTCCCCACGCGTCGGTACGTAGGAGAAAGTGTGGTGTTTCATCTGTAAACCTAATGCTTTTGTAAAGAAAGATGGCAAAATTAGTATTGCCTTACATTGAGCCAGCATTACTTGTATGTGCGGGAACAGTATCTTTTATAGTGCAATTTTAGTTTTGATTTTGTTTTATTACAAAAGCAGTTAAGTTTGAGTTGCGTTATATTGATAGAGGATAATGTTAAAAATCTATAATTTTGCTTCTTAGTCTGTTGTCTGTTGGTTGGATTGAGTGTCTCAGGAGTGCTGTGTTTATTGCAAGTGTCTGTGCACAGTTCAGCTTGATCATCCTTTTTAAAAATGGTCCTGTATTTGGAAGGTGCTTCTTAATTTTATCCCCCTTGGTTGCTGCCATGTAACATAAATATATATTCTAAAATATTATTTTTTTAAATTGTTTTCATATATTCTTTGATCAATTGTGGGAAATTCGTGAAAGCAGACAGAAATATAAGCAATCTAAGAATTGAATTTGACCCAGAATTTGTGGCCCAGATTCCAATACTAATACTGTGCACAGATGCTTGGGCAATACGTTTTAGTATGTTGTGAGAATAGACGCTTGTGTATGATTTTTTTTTTTCATGTCAAACTTCTTAAGGTATTATAGAACATGTCAACTGTTGCTCAGTTCTACCAGCAGTATGTGTTGTGAGCTAACATTCATGGTCAATTTTTAAAGCTTCTTTGGATGAAGATTTTATTAAAATCTTACTGTATGTAACTGGCATTTTTACCCCGTAAATCTAAAGATATAATAATGTGCTTTTAACCAAACGTAACTGAGACTGTGTAGCAGGACAAGAAGAATGAAAAGGAGTTATTTAAGAAGTGGTATATCAAAACTGTTGAAAATTAAAAAAAAAAAAAAAATTAATTTACAAAAAATAAAAAAGATAATGTATCATATAAAGATGTATATAAAAGTAAACAAGAGGGGAGCTTATCACATAAAAGATGCAATTTCTTCTCTTCTGTGCTTTCAAAATGATCAGTAGGCTCTCCTAGAGGTCAGGGGTCTCCCCGGGGATTTGGCTCTCCTCGACACAGTTCGGTCTCGCCTCTTTATGGCTCTCCGCACTCTGTTGGGTCGGCACGCTTTGCTTACCCCAACTTGGAGTGGGATGACGAATTTACTTTACAAGGTAGGATGGTTAATCTGAGCTCATGCTAGCATGGACTTTTTTGGCTATCAGCTGAAAAGTTGGCTTTTTGTGATTAAAAAAAAAATTTTTATGTGATCTGAAATGAAATCTGGCATTGGTTTTGGCTTTTCTTGAAGATGGCCTAAAGCTGATTGGCCAAAACTAAGATGATGCTGAATGAAGCCCAGCTCTTAGGGAACTTTTTTTTTTTCTTTGGAATTGTTGTTCACCCCTCATATGCCAGAATGTTTGTTGTAGTATGCCTAGTTTGACTTGTGAATGAGTGTTCTTTGTGTTCTTGAAGTACAGTAGTCATATTGGGTTTATAATATTTGTTAGATAGGATGAAGTATGAAACAGTGATGCATTTTCTTTTTTGAGTTTGTTAATTCTTTTTTACCTGCATGTTTTTGTGTTTTTTAAGCACAGGTTCTACTCTAAGAAAAATGATGCTCAAAATATAATGGATGCCTGACACAAAAATCGTAGTGAGTTATGTTCTTGACCATATTCAGTTCGATAATCACCAAAAGGCTATCCCGCACAAGAATCTCTTAAAGGGTGACCCATGGTAGTCAACAGTTTTAAAGAGTGGCCATCATGAATCTGGTTTTCTGGGAGAACTGTGCACAAATGTACACTTTACCTCAGAAAGAAAAAAAAATATGTGGGATATATTTGCATTAGGTTTACACAATGGCCATTGACTTAGTGAAGGACCTGTAGAGATAATTTAAAAATTTTTATTATTTGTCCTCTACTTTTCAAAATAGAATTTGAAGTATTTCTAAGCTGGAAGGTTGCGTTAATTTTTTGAGGTGATTTACCTCACATGCAAATTGTGCATGTTAGGTAAAAAAACTGTGTTTTTTAACATTTTATCCTGATTCTAACGATGCTCAGATATATTGTTTTTATTTCCATTCCCAGCTTGATGTTACAGTTACACCTTTTAATAAAAAATATTCCACATAATGCTAAAGATGACTGACGCTGCTCTAAAATTTTTAAACAAAAATGTTTGGCAGTTTTGTCATGGTTTGGCAATTGTATCATGCTAAGTACTCTTATTACAGTTGACATGGTGTGTTTTATCCAAGAAAAAAACATGCATGTCTAAATTGAATGGAGAAATAAGGAATACGGTGGAACACTGAAATTACTGATCGATAACTTTTTTTAGTGCCTTACATAATGCACTGAAACCCTTATAAATATTTTATTTTTTTCTGAAACACTTGTCAGCTTTAATATCTATGTGTGGTGTAATGCATTTCTTATATTCTTCAACTCTTTTGGAACTCCCTGTGCCAGAACTGAAATGCAGTGCATTAGGGTTTCATTAGAATCAGGAAAACTCATCACATTTGATGGAGATTGTATTGATTTTTGTTTCTACTGCTCTGATGATGTAGTACATGACTTTATCGATTGCTGGCAGTAGGAACTGCGGCACAGTATGGCAGTTTATATTTATACACATTTTCCAGTGTAATTATGAGGTTTATATGTATATAATTTGCTATTTGGCAAGAAGAACATTACAAATCTGACCGGACTGAACTGCCATTTGCCTTTGCAAAATAACTAGTCTAAGATCAATTCTTAGCGAAAATAAGCATTGGTTTATTATGTTATAACAGCAGTGGAGATCTATCAGCAATCATTAAAATCATGTGTATTTTATTTGTCACAAAGATGATGATGATGATTATTATTATTATTATTATTATTATTATTATTATTATTATTATTGTTTCTTTTGAACTATCCGGGCTTTTATAACTTTTGTTTTTCATATTTTGCCATTTTAAAACATAATTATGTAACACAGATTCACTTTTGTTGATGTTTCATGATTATGAGTTAATAAACTGGACTGTGTTTTTTATGTTGTATGTTTTTATCCCATCATGTGTTATCCAAACTGTGTGCCTAATATGTGTTGTACAAAGTATGTCATTTGTTTATGGTAGCAATACGGTTGCTCTTTCAGACATTGGTTTTTGGAGGCATAATTTGCATGCTAAAACCAAAGTCTTGTTGCACTTTTATTTCTTGTCATACAATAACAGAATAAACAAATGACACGGTGGGGTATCTCAAAGCTATATTATAATGTATTTATAATTTTGGTGAGATGTACACCTACCAGAGAAATGGAGTGGTGACTTTAAGTATGTCTATGAAGTGTTGACTAAAGTGTTGGCCTATGTCTTCTCTTGTTCAAATATTATTATTATAGTAAAATGTTTATAAGTTAGCCTTTGTCTATAGCAAAACTTTGACTTACATCTTAATTGTTGACCTGCCTCCATAGTAATGTGTTGACCTACATGTACGTGTATAGCCAAGTGTTGACCTGAACCTACTAGTATATTTTGTAATTGTTGAATTAAGTTAAACGATGCTTGACCTTAACCTAAAATAATTTAACTTATATTGCTGCATGCTGGCAAATTGTACATAAATTGCACAGCTTTGCTTAATTTCTAATTTCACTTTGCTTTCATTGATTTACTAAATACTGAGAACTTCTGCATTTTAGTAAGAAAAGTGCAGTGTTCTCAATGTGCTATGTGTAATAGGGCGTTAGTACTGTACTAAGTTATACCAGAATTTTTTCAACTTACGCACTGTACTGTATAATTTTGAAAAAAGTCTGGAATAAGGAAGTACCTTGGTTTCTAAATGTGCTTAGGGAAATTCACATCAGTTTATGTCACTCTGATGAACAACATGTCAGGTTTTGTGCTGTTTGGGGTACAGATGGATATTTTATTAGATGTAAAACTTTGTAACAAAGGTAACACTGGCTTGACCAAATAAAGGTGCTCTTTAGAATGTGTTTCAGAGGTAGCACATCATCTGGCATGTAGTGAGACAGAATAGACAGAGGGGTCACTCTGCTTTTAGAATTTGGGTATTTTGGCCAAATGCAAGGTTATAGGGAAAATGAATTTTTTCCAAAAAATGTTAAAGCTATTTTGCCTAAAAAAAAAAAAAGTTCAGTGGCAGAGGGAACCCATGTTTGGCTCATTTTGCACTATAACTTCTACGGGATACCAGTGCAGTTATAACTCATATTGAGAAGTACATGATGAAAATGAGACAATCCATACCTAAATGAAAAAAATCCTGTTTGTCAGTGAGTAATCAAAGCTAGTAAGTTGGTCTGAAATATTGATGGACTTGTTAGCTGACAGAAGGGATAGAATGCAAATAGAGCTGTACATTTACTGCACTTGTACCACCACCATTTTCCTGTTTCTTTAATTTTTTTTTTTTTTTTACTCCTTTTTGTAATTCGGTATACTTTAGGGGTGCGTCTCTCTCTCTTCCTGCTTGCTTTTTCAATGCCAGAGCAAACTTATTATCGTACCATTATCAATGACCTTGAACTCTAGTTCTTACCTTCGACGACAACCATCTAGATGATGACCTCGACATGGAGCCACGTTCTCCGCCTGCGCACGTGCATGGGATGCCCCACGTGGAGATGTTCAAGCCTGCGCAACAGGATGTGCAGCAGAAAGAAGAGAAGAAAGAGGGTAAGTCTCCAACTTAATCTTAAATATTTCATTAACAGACAGAAGTGTATCTTTTTTTACCTGGCCATTTGAAATTGGGATCAGTAGATCGGAAGAATTTATGGTCTGATTTTAGATAGGTCTTTAAATTATTATGATCATATTATGGCCATGCACTGAAAGAAAAAGAAAAATATGATACTAATTATTTTCCTTTAAAGTGCTTGTTTTAAGGAAATAAATATTTCTTTTCACATTCACGTGCATCTATGAACAGATTAATACATGGGCACAAATATTTGTGCCTAAATTGATACATGGTCACAAACATAATGCACAGATTAATACATGGACACAAACATAATGCACAGATTAATACACGGGCAAAAAAAAACAGATTCACGTTTTAATAATATGCCGCATGTATTAATATTATTATTATTATGTTCACTAAATCAGATGATGTCAAATGAGCATGAGTATATTAATTTATTTCTATGAATATTTTATGCTCACAATAGAGAGAAGAAAAGGTTAGTTGAAATGTTTTAGGTCCTGAGTAATTTAAAAAAAAGGTTTTAGAGTTGAAAATCTGTAGATTAATGTTGCATAAAGATAAATATACAGGCATTGAAGTCTTTTTTCTTTGAAAAATTCCATCATCAGTTACTTTAAAACTTAGGTTGGTTTTAGGTCTTATTACTATTCAGCAATAAAGTTAGCCTTCTTTGCACTCAGATATTTTGGGGTAACTTTAATGCCTGTATAATGGGAAACAATTTTTAAAAAGGGGTGGAAGTAATGGGATAGACACTTACAGTGTAAAACTTTGCCTAGTTGTTAGGTCCATAACAATGCCAATTGATATGCTATATGGTAATGTGGACAATTTTAATTTTTTAGAGATGAAAGTCTTCGTATTTATCTGTAAATGCAATTATTTGGGTACTCCCCCTCCCTCCACCACATAAAGTCTCACAACTTTGGCACCAATATTTTCTGAATTTTTTAGTCCCACTTTCATCTCTAAATTTTAAAACTATATATGATGGTGAAGGGTTTGGAAAATGAATAATAATTTGAAAATTGTCATAGTTGAAGCTTTTGGATAATAGCCTAGGGGAAGGTAGTGAATGGAAGGGGCTATGTATAAAATGTCCTTCTTTGGTTATAGTGATTTTATAGTGAAAGAGAAGTACAATTATAATATTCATTTGAAAAGAATTAATGAAGAGCGCTGATGCAGCATTGACATTTAAACTTGAAGACTTACACAGAATGTAAAAAGCAGGTTTGATATTTCATGATATTCTTTCCAAAGACTGTTATAGTCCATGTATAAGAAACTTTAACTGTCATTCTATTTACCACACTTTTTATGATTTGCTATAGTCCGTGAGCTTAGTGAAGAGGAAAAGCAGCAGATTATGATGTCAGAAGACTTCGTGCGATTTTTCGATCGCAGCACCCGCTTAATTGAGCGTGCTTTGGCAGAGGATGTCCCCAATATTTTCGTGGATTATTCAGGCACTGGAGAGGACCAAGAAGGGTGAGGGAACCATGGGATATTTTCTTAAATATGTCATGATAAGCATTAGTAAATATCATATTCTTTACTGAGAAAAATTTGTTCTGTATACTTCAGAGGCTTTCTCATATTTCAGAAACACCATTTCTGCCATGATAGCAATTTTGATAAAAATCTAAGACTCAATCTAGACTCAGCATGGGTACAAAATGTGAAAAGAAAAATTGGGTGGAGTGGGGTGGGGGGGTATTCCATTTGTTTTAAAGAGGTAATATCCTGAAAAACATCACTTATATTACATTGCATTATGTGGGTATTTTGCCATTCATGTATTTTACAAATTGCACATGCATTCACTCACACACACACACACACACACACACACAGGTTAATTATTGTTGATGACTTTGTTGTTTCAGGGATGCGCAGGGAGGAGTGAGACTCAAGATCAGCAGAGAGTTCTATGATGAGAGGTGGTCAAAGCACCGGTCAGTCACGTGCTTGGACTGGTCAACACAGGTAAGAGATCACCCATATTTTGGTCAGAAATGAATAACCATATTGTTAATAAAGTATTTTTTGGAAAAACAATACAGCATTTTGCTGACAATAACAAATTTTCTTCAAAGGTTAGCAGCTTTCTTTGCAGCAATTTATGAACCAAAGTCTGTTACATTCCTTAGCCTTTGTTTTTTGTTTCTCATCATTAAAATGAACTTCAGAATCTGAATTCTTATTCCTCAGAACCCTGAAGTTCTTGTTGCCTTTTATAACACAAATTATTAAGATACTGCATGATCTAGATGACATCTGTACATTTGTCAGGTGTACTGTCCTATTTGTAATTTTCTCTCTTTCCCCTGTTCACTGCACAGCATGAATGAAGAAACTGCATGATCTTCATGAATGAAGACACTGCATGATCTACATCTGTACTTTTGTCAGGCTTACTGCCCCATTTGTAATTTTCTCTCTTTCCCCTGTTCACTCCACTGCATGAATGAAGAAACTGTGATCTTCATCTGTGCATTTGTCAGGTTTACTGTCCAATTTGTAATAATCTTTCTTTCCTCCATAGTACCCAGAGCTTCTGGTTGCCTCCTACAACATGAATGAAGATGCTCCACATGACCCGGACGGTGTCTGTTTGTGGTGGAACAAAAACTTCAAGAAAACAACTCCAGAGTACATCTTCCACTGTCAGGTGAGCTGGATATAAGAACCTACCAGTGCTTTGTTAAGAGTCTGTAGCACCAGAGAAACTCCTCCTCATTGACCTATCAAAATATGTGTGTGTGTGTGCGTGCATGCGTGCGTGCATGTAAGAAAATTTCGTACTGTGTCATGGCAAACTCTGTGAACATTCAATATTGGATCACAGACTAATGCTCCTTGGTTACTTGTTCACAGTTAACAACAGAGATGCTAGATAGCTTAGAAAAACTGATTTTTAATTTTTTTCATGATTTTCATGAAAACCAGCTTAACTTTGAGCAATATTTTTTGGTCTCTTTTACTTTCAGTCTGCAGTAAACTCGATATGTTTTGCCAGATTCCACCCTAACCTGGTGATAGGTGGGACATACTCGGGACAGATAGTGCTGTGGGACAACCGTAGCAACAAGAGGACACCTGTTCAGAGGACACCCCTCTCAGCAGTGGCACATACAGTGAGTAAAGTGTGGATAGCAGTAGATAATAATATAATTTAGTCCTCTGATAGGGAAGTGCTAAATCTGAATAAATCTAGTTGTTGTTTTTGTTCTCATGACATTTTTTATGACACAAACAGAATTCATGATTATGAAAAAGAAATGATGATAAGCTAGAAACAGAAACAAGTGCATTGAGATTTAATGATATTTGTAATATTTGAACTTTCTAAAATTTTAGTACAGCTGGTACGCTTTTATGGTATATAATGGGCAGTAAGGCATGTTAGGCTAGAGAAAAAATCTCAACTCAATGTTGCCCATTATGTGGCACATTTGTCAACCAGGATTCTATTTTTAAATTAATATCTCTCAAGTAATGTCTTTCCGCTGTCTTTCCAGCATCCAGTGTACTGTGTCAATGTGGTCGGCACCCAGAATGCGCACAACTTGATCAGTGTGTCCACAGATGGAAAAATTTGCTCCTGGAGTCTTGATATGCTGTCACAGCCCCAGGTACATCAGTTAAACTTATCTACTTATCTCATGTTTATAATCTATGCATTTTTTTTACTGAACTGTTACAGTACTATGTTCATGTTGCTAGTAGTTTTAAGATGAAAAATTGAGTCAGGTAGCTGAAAATTTTAGCCATGTGGAGTTTTATTTTTAGCATGTGTATTAGTTCTGATTTTCTGTAGATGAGAAATATAAAACACAAAAACTGCCATGTGTTATGACATTGTATTAGACATTGATTTAATGTTGTGTTTATTACAGGACAGTATGGAGCTACAGCACAAGCAGACCAGAAATGTTGCGGCCACCTGTATGTCCTTCCTGTCCAGTGATGTGAATAATTTCATTGTGGGCAGTGAGGAGGGGGCAGTATACACGGCATGTAGACATGGAAGGTAAAGAATAATGAGAGAGAAGATTGCTCAGGTGCTATTGTGCTGTATGAAAAAGAATGAGACTAAAAGGAGAAAAATATTTAATTGAAAGCAGGGTTTATGGTGAAGTGTTTTATTAAAAAAAAAAAAGGAACTGAAATGAGTAGCACCATTTTAAAGCACTATGTGCATATAAGTTTATTTTAGGTCTAATTTTCTAACTTAAGGTATTTCATTGTGTTGTTGAATGATAGTGGATCCTCTTGCAACTGGTAATTATTAACTAACAAATGGTAAATTTTAGTCTGTGATGACCAAACACTGCGCAAAATTTAAGAGTTCCATGTTGACGAGTTCTGAGTACTTGTGTCTTGTTGAGCTCCGTGGTTCTCAGTGTTAACACAGTGGTTCTGAGGCTGTTGTAGGCTGTAGAGACTCTACCATAAGAACATGAGCATTTCATGGAAAAAATTAAGAAAATGAGCAAAAGAGAACTTAATTGATAAGCCTTTAAATTTACTCCTTACGCTTGTAAAAAAAGTCCTGTTACTTATCCCATGGTATTTTAGATTGTTCAAAATATTCCATCTATCCAAAAATGTTATCTTTTTATTCTGTCTACAATAACTGTGACACTTAATGTAAAGTGTAACTTTTTGCTACAAAATGATATACTGTATGTTAAATTGTGAAAGCATTCATTTAAATATACTTTAACTTATTTCGATAAAACTTCAAACTACTACTACTGCTACAGTAACTACTACTACTACTACTACAGTAGCTACAAATGATTATAAAAATATTAATAATACATGTAAGAATAGTAATATGAGAGATACTGAAGTAAATGTCCTGTGTTTTCCAGCAAAGCAGGTATAGGTGAGATGTTTGAGGAGTGTCACCAGGGCCCTGTCACTGGGATAGACTGTCACTCTGTCCAGGGAGCCATTGACTTCTCCCAGCTCTTCCTAACTTCCTCCTTTGACTGGACTGTGAAACTGTGGAGTGCAAGGGTTAGTGCACGAGTTTTTTGAATTCAATTCTGACAATTCCTGAGATTCTTCTAGATTCGTCATGATAAATGTTCATAGGTTTTTTTTTTTAACTTAGAATCATGTCTGACAGTGGTATTGTTGACAATAAGACAGTTACATTAAAGGACTTGTTCGAATTTAGAAAAATCTTTCATTTGTCCTAAAGTTTGTATTGTGTTAAATGAAGTTTTAGATTGGGCAGTAATGCTTTAAGTGCATAGTAATTTTTGATGTAACAGAATCATGATAAAATATATTTTCACTGTTCAAACTGTTTAAAACCAGTATTAAGTATATATTACTATTTATCATTATCAGGAACAAAAGCCCTTGTACTCATTTGAAGACAATAGTGACTATGTGTATGACGTGGCCTGGTCTCCTATCCACCCTGCTCTCTTTGCCAGTGTGGACGGGATGGGAAGACTGGATCTCTGGAACCTCAATAATGATACAGAGGTCAGTAGGCAGTATATTTAATGTCTATTTATCAGTTAACACATGTCAGATTCAAAGGCTGTTTTTCACACAGGCCCTGCACACATATTCTTGGAAGTGTAAGTTGCATTCAGATAGAATGTTTGTCATAACTGAACCTCCTGACATCTTCCCCAAAACATGCAGGCGATGTCTGACAAATGTTTTTTCACACCATTCCAAGCCAACATATTGTAATAAACGTACATCACACCCAAACAATTTATTTCTGTTGGTGGCCAAAGTCACACCTAACACATTCTTGTTATCCTTTTAGGTTCCTACAGCAAGTGTTGTCACAGATCCAACCATAGCATTGAATAAATGTCGCTGGCACCAAAACGGGCACCAGATTGCAGTAGGAGACGACATGGGCAAGATCTATATATATGACATAGGGGAGGTAGGTGAAGAGAGTGCAGTGAGAAGTGCTTTTAAAATTGCTGGAAGTGGTTTTTATGGTGGTTTAGCCATTGTTGCCAAACATTTTAAAAAAGAGACCATCTTGGTTGCTTATTACAATTTATTGTTTTATTAATTTAGTTATTGTAGTATTTTCTTTAAATGAAAGTATAAAAGGGTTCGTGAAAAAAAAAAAAAGAAAGATACAGGATACATCAATATTTTGTGGATAAAGTTTTAAAATTATACATGGTGTCCTGCTGTTTTATAGAAGTCCTATAGAGTGTTTCAGGCAATGTCAGCATAAACAAAGATCACATTAATTTTTATGTACAGACCACAGATTTTAAGTAAGATCATTATGATGCTTTTTGGTTACGCCAGGGAAGAAAAAAACAGTTTTAGAAAATTCCAGGGTAAAAAAAATAACATTCTATGCCAATTATAAAATAATTAAAATTGTTATTTCAGAACATTGCCAATCCCAAGATGGACGAGTGGTCTCGTATGGTGCACACGCTACAGGAGATGAAAGCCAATGCTGCTGACACTGAGGACGACCTGACGAGTCAGACTTCTTCACCCCTGCGATAGCACAGAGAACATTAAATTACTCAACCAAATGTGTATGAAAACTATATATTCCTGTTTGTATTGGATATATACTTTTCTTGTTAATATGAAAACACTTTATGGACCATTGGGCATATATTGTGAGAGTAAAAATGTGTTCAGACCACACAAAAGTTGTAAACCCACTCAAAATCTCATTGCCAAAAGAATTTTCAGGTTCTTCTCATGCTTGTGTAGGAGTAGGCTTAAGCTTGAGGTTAATATAAAATTATTGCAAATCTGAATGGTAAATATGTAAGTCAATTAAAGTATAATTATTCACTTTCTTCCAATAAGGGATTTTAAATTATTTGTTCTGAAAACATATGTACTGGAATGATTGAAGCAAACATAGGTGTTTTACTAGTGAGCACTAACATTGAATGAAGAAGAAAGTAACTTGCACACATAAAAGCAAGTAAACAAAGTCCCCAGTAAATATGTTGTGTGCAGTGTCCTTCGTGCCAAGTAATGGCTGCCCAGTATAAAAATTGATCTTCCATAACATGAAAAAAGAAGTTTAACTTTTAAGTCTTGGCATTTGCATTCATGGTCAAATACTAATTTTTCAAAGTTTTTCCTCAGTGAAATGAAAATAGTAAGAACTGGTGCTGTTCTTTGCATATTGTGTTAATGATTCAACCTAAAAGCAAATTATTCAGTGAGACAGCTACTCTTTAGAATATATGCCAAAAACATAAGTTATGAGTAATATCATTTACCTATAAATCCATAAGAATCAAGGTCAGTATGGTAGTAACTGCCTTAAATAGTTTGAAAATACAAAAACCAGTGAAGTTGTTTGTGCATTCCTGCAGTATATTTATTTAGCAATTTAAAATATAAAACTATTGCTGTTTATCATTTTAGCAGTGTATGCTGACAACTTAACTGTGGCAGAATTAAAGTCAGACGTTAATACAAGCTTCACAAAAATGCGAACAAGCTTTGGTGCCTTGTAAAGATGGAAAGGACTCATGATAAGAAGTGTTAAACATATTACCATAACCTCTGGAAATTTTCAAAATATAAAATTGACATTCAGCTTACATTTTGTCAATGTAATGACTTCATACAGCAACTTGAGTGCTCAAACTGTTATTTTGGACAAAAAGAAGCTATTTCACACTGAATGTTATCATGGTATACAGCAATGTCACCCATAGCTGAACAAAGATAATCTGGCTTATTGCTCACCTTAAGACATTGTTCTTATTTACTGACCTAATAAAAAGAACCACATCTGACAAAGTTGATAAATGGCTTTATTTTCATTATCCTCCAGATGACACATGAAGTTGAGTGAGATAATTGTCTTAATCTATAGAATATTATGTTATGTGAAAGCCTGCTTTCATGATGCAATGTTTGCCCCATTGTTCTTGTGTATTTACAAATTTTGGCATTAGTGGCAAAATAAAAATGCACCTTTTCTCATAGCAAATATAATACTTTAATTTGAGATTTAAGAGGCACTTTGAATTCTTGAAGTGTCAAATCATTATTTTAGGAATGATGCAAGTACATAACAAGATGCTTATTTTATCACTAATAAAAAATCTTGATATTGTTTTAATTGAATAAACATACTAGAAGAGCAATATCATGGAAAAAAATTATCTTTACTTTTTTTAAATAAACTGTACCCTTCAAGTAAATATTTTTGAGTATTTTGGCACTTGAAAATTCTGGTTAATATATCTGAATAAAAATAACACCACTACATGTCATCTATAATTCTTAAAAAATCAGGAAAATATACAAAATTCATTATTAAAAATCCAGCAGGATGTTTTCATGTAGTGGACACATAACTCATTGGGATAACTAATAAAGTGAGGCAACAATACTCCAATACAGTTATGTCTAAGCCCTAACTTTGGGTCTATATAAATTGCGGAAATGGCTTCATATAATTTTTTGCACATTATGTCGAAGAAACTAAATTAAAATGAAGATTATTTCTAAAAATGGCTCAAAGTATATGCACATTGGGGTCATCATTTATTGTTCAATGCTCTTTGATGGCATGTACTAAATTCAACTATAACAGCACAATCAGTTCAACTATATAATCTCCCTTTCCAATATTTCCCTGCATCGGCTCAATCTGATAAAGACAGAAAAGAAAAGATAAACACAGCAAACTACAGGGCACTGGTGATCAATTGTTAGTCAAAACTAAAATCTACTTTTGGATGTACTTAAAATCTACATAAATGACAATGTTTTTGTTCATTGGATTAAAACTAAATTTACCAGACAAAATGTTTTCATTGTGTCACATTGAGTCTGTACCAAATAAGGTTTTCATTGATTGTCTTTGCACCTTTAAATGTAACAATAAAAATATTTTGTAAAAAAAAAAGTTTAATACAATATAACAAAGTTTACCATTCACACTGTTCAAGATTGCATTTTCTGTGCAATTGTCATAAAATTGAGCAATGCCAATAAAATGTTTTTACCCATAACTTGTATGCAGAAACTAAACACTGCAACACACCTTTTATCTTGCTCTAACTTATTTTGTTTAAAGCAAGAAGCAGAAAATAACACCTAAATCATAATAAAATAAAAAATATAATTAAATAAATAACCCAAAATAAAATATATTGCCCAGGAACAACAAAATATTTTGCTATGAGACATATAGCTAGGCCCTTTTCACACATACTTATCTTTACCACAACTTTTTCAGAGATTGATAACTTAATTGCCTGTTGTGAGTAATTTTGATTGGCCCTAACAGTCGGAAGCAAACTTTGAGAATTGGAGCAAACCACCCTGTATAGATTATTTCATGTGAAGACCAGTCAAAACATTGCAATACAGATAAGTGTATTACTTGATGTAAAAAGGACCTCAGACCTAAGTCACTGCTGATTATATCATGCTAGTACAATCAAAGTGTTTATTCTTTTCAGCAACTAATCCTATCTATCTTATGAATCTCATTAGCATCCACACTCTGTGACAATTTTTCTGTTTCACTCTCTGGCCAAATAGTCTCCAAATAGAATCGAAGAATTGCCCTTCAGATAATAAGTTAATAAACTGCATTCCATATATCTTGGCAGAATCCTGTACCAAACTGCCTCTGGTTTTATATCAAACACAATGAAATATAAACAGTTTGGTATTATCAAATAACACAATTGAGTCTCGGGGGGTTTTCCAATGCTCAAAAGAGAAGACCTCTGCTGTACAAAGTCACACCGTTTAAATTCCCTTCATATTTAGTATCAACATTCAGAATTTGGAGCACTTCCACTGTAAAGATTCACATTTCCATGGTGACCATTCGAGACTTTGGACTCCTCTTGAAAAACAGGGTTTTCTGTACCCTCTGAACTGCTGCCATGGTTACCATTCTGTTTTAGGCTGGTAAGAATCCCATTGTCATGACTACTGGTTGCTAAGTCACCATTTATTCTTACACGATCATTATCTTTCTCATATGCAGCATTGTCAAATGAAGTGAAGGGAATGTTCAGTTTAGTATTGCGACAGACGACAAAGAAAACAACAGCACCTATTACTGCTACCACCACTACTGCTGCCAAGGTAAGTCCAATAATAAGAGGAAGTGAGGAGGATGATGATGTACCTTTAAAAAGAAAATTGAAAAATAAATTGTTATAGAAATTTTTTTCAGTACAAAATCTAGACTCAAATATACTCGGTATTATAGCATCTCACATAAATTACTTTGTGTGAAATATTATGATCTCTGCTAATATAGTACCTTGATCCTGTGTCTGAGAGTCTGTTTGTGGTTTAATGCTGATCCCATTGGGTCTGGCTGGTGACTTGGTAGTCCTTGGTTTAGCTGTTACTGATGCTGACATACTGACTGTAGATGGCACTGTTGGTGTTGAAGGCGAAGGAGTAGAGCTTGGAACTATAAATGGTGTTGTTGCAGACACTGGAAAATGTTTACACAATGTTTTGAACAAGAAAACCTTTGAAGAAAGTTATTACATTATAAAGATCTATTAGCATCCATATCATGACTTCAAAGGAACATGTATATAAAAGGTACCCTATATAGTCAAAATGGTATCAAAATGTTAAAAAAAACACTTAACTAGAGAACAAAATTATACAGCAATCGGCAAACAAGTAGGACATGTACCTTTAATTATAACATTTTAAGCTGATATTATAATCAGTTTCTGGAGGATATAATTAACAAGATTTACAAATTCATTACTTTTCAGTCGTTTGCATATGAATCCTAAGTTGCGCTTGGTACCACAGGTGACATCGTTCCATTGGCCTGAGGAGGAGGACATGGCGCCACACTCCTCTGCCCCGCGGTACGTCCTATTAGAGGGCTGTCCTGGCATCCAGTTCTGGTAGTTAAACGGAGTGCCATCGTACCACCCAAACCCAGCTGAAATGTCAAATATCACTGCAGCTGTTATCCCTGTATTGGTATCTTTTTTTCAACACAAAAGTGTTTAAAGTCACCTGAGGCATCGCCTTTCACACTTATACATTCTGTGGGAAAAAAAACCAACGTAGGATATATAATCTAAATTGATTGTCAAATATCTTGAGAATCTTCAAACTTTTAAGTTTATGCTGAGTTAGCAGCCTTTATAAATAAATTTTGGAACTAGAATTATTTAACAAAATTCAGTTTGAAGTGGAACTTCAGTCTATTAATTAAAAAATAAATCTGTCAAAATCATAAAGTAAATTTGCTCTCCATCACAATTAACAGACTGATTGTGAATATCAGTCACACAGTTACAAGTGGACTGAGATTGATAAAAATGCTTGGAGGTAAGGAGGGGAGATGAAGGAATACAATACATACAAGCAGGTGGTTTGTACCACCTGCGATAACCATCTATATAGTGCCTCCACCCCCTCATGCACCCCAACTGCAGACCCTAACATCCTTATATTAACTCACAATTCTCCTTCTTTATCAACCCAATCCACATCATAGCCGACATTCCTTGATTCATGGTGCTAATTGTATCCAGAATAAAGTTGGTCTCTGCCTGGCTGGTTATTGACGCCAGCTGTCCTCCTTTCTTGTAGCATAACACACTTGCTTCGGCCCAGTTTTGGTAGTTCACCCCCTTGATGTAGTAGCAGTATCTCCCCTTGGGGAACCACGTGTCGTCTGGGCAGTAGCCGGCCTCCTCTGGAGGGGTTGGACTAGGGGTCACTGAAAATAAAATCTCGCATTAAAGTTTGCTGAAAAAAAAAAATTATTTTAATATTTTAAAAATGCATCAGTTTTTTTTTTTAATTATTCACATCCACAAAGGGACCACAGCTTTTGTTATAGCCTAAGTGCACATAGTCACTATATATGGACTCTCTCTCACACACACACACGCATATTCACACACATGCATACATATACTTGAACAAATACACACAAATCCATGAAAGCATCCACACACACACACACGAACCCACACACATACACATACCTGTGGTGTACTTGCACAAAGTGATCAGTTTAGCATTACAGTCTGTGGTCACCCACTGTCCAGTGCTGTTCATGGACACACAGCGCCGGCCTGGGTCATCTAACTGGACATTACTGGCCCAGTTGACAAATACCAGTGACCAGGGGGAGTCCTTCCATTGGAAAATTTTCTAAGGAGAAAATAAACAAAAAAATTGAATGTATTTTAGCTAGATCCACGAATCAATATATATCAAATGAATTATGGTCACGTCAATTCTGAATCAGTAAGAGCAAGGTGTATAACTTCAAAAATAGGCAATTTTTTTGGACTGATTAAGATTAAATGACATTAAGCTCAACTCTAAAATCTCAAGTTGTTTCTAGGACCAAGATCTTTCTGTCTTTTTTTTATAATATAGTTTTTTTTAGCGCATACATGGATTCAAACAATTGTTATATATTTTCTAATTCAATCATGCAGGGCAGGGGAATACTTCTTGTTTAATATCATTATTAGCATGATCTTTAAAAATGAATTACACTTACATAAGTAGTATCATAATAAAGTCCTAGCCACACAGGGGAGCCGAGGTCATTGGCCATTAAATTCAGGTATGCCTGTTCAAAGTTGTTGGTCACCACAGCCGCCGTCGCCCCATCATTTCTACAATACTGCACAGCCTGTACCGGAATTAGAAAAGCAAAAAATTTAAGATCTAGTTCCATCTCTAAAGGGATTAACTTTCCACATTATAGTTCCAGTTTTACAGACAAATTATTAAAGAGAAAATTATGACAACACCATAGGTCAATTAAGGTGTAGGTAATTCAAAATTACATCACAATATTGGGTTGGAGGCTCTTTATTCATATGCTCTCAGTAGAACATAAAGGCCTTTGATCTAATTCTTTGGCCTTGACAACTAACGCATTATAGGTATCATGCTATGGGAACCATCATTACAGTAATTACATAATATAATACAACAATTATAATGAAAGTAATATTTTGTGTGTTTACACAAGGTAAAAACTGAACCGTATGTACCTGGTCCCAAGTTCTGGTGGTCAAGGTGTCCACTTTATAACAGGCGTCCAGGTACCTTGTGTAACCTGGTTTTCCATCACAGAGGGTGCTGGGGGAAGTGTTGGGGCGCCATGTGGTGCCAATAGAGAGATCTGGAGGGTGCAAGGGCACATTGTGTATATTAAGACTGCTATAAGTTCTACAGATATCTATATAATAAATATAATAAATGTACTGTTAATATGTTTTATATATTTTAGTAAAATACGGAATAAGGACAAAGGATAATTCATGAGTTCAAAATGTTCTACTTCTTTTATATTTCAGCTATATTACAGATATCATTTTTTATGGAAAATTAATAAAATAATGTAACCATTCTTGTTTGCATAAATAAGTTTTCAGATTTCATTCTTATGAAATAAGTTCTATCAAAGCAGAGCATTTGGCAAAAAAGTCAAAAGCAAAACTACAAGTACATATGCTGTCACATACAGTGACACAAGGTCTTTGCAAATTGAGTATTATATCTTTTAGTAAGTGTTCCATCTGTATTTATGTTTTGAGAGGTTCTACAGAGTAATTATTTGGGAGACTTCACCTCCTTTCACATGACATGTTCGGTTCTGCGTTGAAGTCCGAACCAAATTAACTGGCCATGTCCATTGCGCCATTGACTCTATTACTTAATAGCTGGGCTATTATATTAAGCTATCAACCTCTCAAAAAATACCAAATAATACAGATGGAAAGATGAAGTAATTTTGCCTGATGTCAAAAGGCCTAAAACTGATACACTTGCATGGTTACATGAAGTATGCACATTGACATCTAAGGCAGCAACACATAGCAATAGTCTATAGAATATATTCAACATGCTGCATGTCCAACAAAAACAACTAATTACAAGCTGAGATTATATAGTTGCTATTTAAGAAAACAAGCTAAACCAAGCTTCACCAAGATGATTATAGTGTTCCTGACACCAAACAGATGATTGAAAGCCAGAAAAAAAAGACAACCATACAATTGCAATAAGAGTGAAAAAGACTGAAAAATAAAAGGCAATTCCCACATAATACACAAATCCATAGCCCTTTCCTGGATGCTTAAAAAAAAATTAAGCCTGACACGCAATAGGCAAGAAAACTAATACATTACATCAAGTTTTTAGTTCTAATTCTATCCCTCATACCACTTAGTATCTACAGAAAAAAGGATTCAGCTCTAGTCTAAAAAGTACCCTCCACCTTATGTAACTGAAGTTAGTGCAGCTGTTATCCATCAGCTTTTAACCTCTAGCACACAGAATGAGATGATAAATATATGATAGATATCAGCAGCATAGACATGACCCATAGGTGATACCTACTTGGTTGCACTGTGAATCCTGTTATACAAAACAATATACTGTCAGTTAAAATTGTACTTAGCCATCACATTCACGCAACATTTGAATGACACTGAAAAAATCCCTGTGACTAACTTTGCTATGAATTTTAATAACTTTCAAAATACATAATTATTTAAAACTTAAACATTTTGTGATTATTATTATTCAATGAAAAAATAGAAATTGTTACAGTTACAAAAATTATGGGTTATAATTATTGTAATTGGCTGTAAAATTTAAGGAAGAAATGTGAGTGAGAACCTACTACATCTCTCAAATCTGTTTTGTGATAACTTCTATGCCTGACATGACCTTTTTTACTTCGAAGTCCCTTTGGGGATTTAGCAGTATGTTGGTTAGCCTGTTCCTTTGTTAACTGTACTTTTTTCAAAGAACAATTCTCATAAAATAAATATCATTATAATGTCTTGGATGACTCAGTCTATACAGTCAGTCCTACCTTTCCAAGTTTGGCACACAAAACCTGTCTCAAAAGAGCAGGAACGGGACTGCCATTTTCCTGCAGTTCTTGTGCTTGTCTTCATCAAAACACAATCCTCCTGAAATGTATCAATTTGTATCAAAAATTTATCAATATGTATCAATATCTATCAAAAAAGTATCAATATTTATCAAAAAATGTATCAATCTATCAAAAATGTATCAATATGTATCAAAAATGTAACAATATACTATGTTACATGGGGTACACATAAATAACATATACCTCTGTGGGCACAGAGGATGTTTTTTTTTTTTTTTAATGAATTTAATAAGAAAACATTTGCATGACAATGAAAGGATGTGGAATCTACATCAAAAACAGATTTCAGAAGTTTCTTTATGACATGGCTATCTTGAATTCTATAACCAAAGCACGCTGCAACATTTAAAAAAAAAAAGTAAAACTGTTTATGAACAAATACAAAACCAAAGAAAACCATTATGTAAAACCACCACCAGCTTACAAAAGCCATTTAGCAAATAAATAAAAGTCCCATAACCATTATTAACTTTTTACTGCAATAACAACAGTTAGCAATGCCACATTTTCTTAACTGTTACACCACTAAAAATCTATGAGCATTTGAACCCTGACCCATATCAGATTAAAAAGGTTACAACTACTGATCTACCATCACCAATATTACTTCAAATTTAAAGCACTCCCCTCTATTATTTCTGGCACAGCACCCATCATTTGCAGGCATATAATTGCAACTTTAACCTGTTTAAGATCCAACAAAAATTTTTCTATTAGTGATCACTGTTATTTTCATAACAGAAATAATCATTTTTCTACAAGATATCTCTATTGCTTATAAATATGTCTTATCCACAGTCAGACATTAGGGGTAACCCCCAAGTAACATGTTACCTACTTTTGTAGCAGCGGCACTAAAACTGTCATCCTGGTTGAAAAAATAGGAAGTATTATCATCGCTAACACACACATTAGTATTACTATTCCATTGCCTTTGCTGATATGTCAGCCTACAACCCCTCTATACCTACATATATATATATTTATTAAAATCTCCTGCATAAACACATGGTAGAAAGTTGTAAAAAAAAATGAAAATCCCGAAAACAGCTTGTAATTTCTTATCGCACTTAGACTATAGGAAAAAAAATGATCAAAATGAAGACTGAAAATTCTGAAATCACAAGCATAATCCTGAAAACTGTCACCCATGTACACAGGTATGAAAACATGCACGTACACTCATGCAGAAGCACACAGACAAACAAACAGATGCAGATATGTAATATGCTTCAGGCCAGTGGTGGATTTAGAAGAGGAGGGGGGGGGGTCATAAACAAAATACAATATTTAATGAAATCAAACTGTACATAATAAACTACATACATCTCCATAGCTGCCAGCATTACTGTGGGGTTCTCCTCTGTCCCAGTTGGTGTAGCTAAAGGGTTGGTTGTCCACCCAGTGGTATGTGCCCTCTCGTGTTTTATCGTTAAGACCGATCCACATCTCGTAGGTTTTATCCTTCAGCATAATTGTTACAAAGCCTGAAAGTATTCAAAATTAGTGTTTCAAATTTAAAAAAAAATGAAATTTTCGGGTGGGTTGTTGTAAAGAAGACAAAACATCAAAGTGCTGTGAATTTGTCATGCTCACTGACATTTTTATCTGTTTGTAATTTTCTTTCAGTGCCCCCACAAATGAAGAGAAAAGGCTGTTTGAAATCTTTTTGGTCCTCGCTTTATTTTTAAATAATGCAACTGTGAAATATTCACATTTCTTTCAAAAAATTATCATTATTATGGGTACCATTTCTATTATGAAAATCAATAATACAGTTTTATCAAACATTACAAATACCTTTCAGTCAAGTTTGAGTCATAATTTTTCTTCCATACTCTTCACAAAAGTTTTGGAAGCTTAATAAAACATGCCATAACTAATGTCAAAAAATAATTATTTTCTTCAAGGTGACTTACTTTGTTCCAGCTCATTAGTAATGGTAGCTAGAGAAAAGGATTTCCCCAAAGCAGCACAGTAATCCCTGGCCATGGTCCAATTCTTTAACTGGAGGACTGAATCTCCATAGAAACCATAACACTTGTTGCCTAGATACACAACATAAATATTATTATTTATTGCCGTAATAGCAATAAAAGCATGTTGTCAAGACAGATTTAATCACAGTCACCATGGAAAAGGTAAGTTTTTGCCAAATAGAAAATAATCAACTTAATATTTTGATTAAATGGCCACATCACACAAAATACATACCTAAAGACGTTTTCTGACCATGGCAACATGGACTTTATTTGGCTATAGAGGTGTTTTTTGTGTGTGTGTGAAAGGTGAGTACATTCTCTTAGTTTGTGTGTCAAATTATACACTGCCACTCTCTTGCGTAACATGCATTGAACAACGCTCACTGCCAGTCTCGAACTTCTGGCACGTATCGTTCAGGTGACATTGTATCCATCACAGTTACAGTTTATATATATATATATATATATACACACAGTGGGGCAGTGATCTTTTTACCTATGGCATAGTAGCCTCTAGGGCAGTTTCCTGGCAGGGCAGGGGTGGGCTGGGTGGTCACAGGTGTTCTGCTGTCCTTGTGTCTTTTACATATGAACCCATTTTTGTCTCCACAATTGTCATCATTCCACGTGCCTAAAGTTAAAATATTAAAACCAGAGATAATTTTGTGTATTCATATTAATGCTGACAACAAGGTTATTGCAAGTAATATTTCATGCGAGGTGGAATTTAAAAAAGTGCCTGAGATTTGTTATCTTACAAAGGATCTAGTACTTCAGTAAATCAGAGAAATTTTAATTTCAGTTAATCATAGTATTTCAACTGGAACATAGACAATTAAAGTGAATAGATTTTTCACATCTGAAACTTGAAATCAAAAACCAACTCCTATGTATTTAGAATACCAATCCCTATGCTTTTGGAAAAAAAATACATTGACAGACATTAAAAGGGCATATACAGGTTTGAAGTGATTTTGGTTTGAGGTAACCTTCATTTTATCGATCACTACTAACTGGAGCTTTTCATTAATCAAAAATGGAACATAAGACAAGATGGTCATTAACTAAAATGTATAAAAGCATTGTGTCTCACACAACACACACATAATAAATAAATAAATAAATAAATAAATAAATAAATCTATTTCCCTACCTGACCCTGTGTATATGTCCACACATCTCTGCCCTCCATTCCAGTCATTGGGCTCATTCTTGTTCCAGTTGTCATAGTCTGCTGGAGTGCCGTCTGACCAACTGGAGAGTATAAAATCAAAAGTTATGGATATTGATGATAATGATGATCATGAATCCATAACTAGACAATGAATCATCAATGAATGAATGAATGAATGAATAAATGAATGAACAGAAAATTAAAATTTTGATTAATCATATAAAACACTGAGAAACAAACATAAATAAAAATATTAATCATTAAATCAATTATTTATTCAAATTGATTTATATCACTTAAAGTAAAAAACTTTTAAGTCATCATCTAATTTTAATAAGAAATTTCATCATCAGATGTTTAAGTCTTAGAGTATATGATGAAATGACAAAGTGATTCGGTAAATATATTCCATCTTACTAGCATCTAAATTTTTGTTTATTCAATGTTTGAAATAAATTCTGTACTTACGTATAACTAATGAGGTTTAGCTCATTCAGTCCAATCCACAAAGCTGTGTTACGCGTATACATCTTGCTCATCTGTAAATTCAGGAACAACCACAGTTTGTACAATATGGCTTAGTATGCAAATTATCATCCTGTTTCTTTCTTTATTCTTTATTTTTAGATGAAAGTCTCTCAGATATGATCAAGATATTTGAATTTTTTATTTACTATTTGGAAAGCTGGCTTAAGGATGCCTTATATTCAACTCTTAAGGTTACCTGTGAAGTAATAAACCCATTTTCTGTGCGTCCATGAATGCTGGCCAAATCTCCGCCACTTTGCCTGCACCAATCACGTGCATCATACCAATTCTTTTTAACACTACTAGGTGAAACATAGAAGCAGTTGTCTCCATAGCCCAGCCAAGCACTGTCACCACAGTCAGTAGCTGGAAAGATGAGGGATCAAAGCAATTAATGACAAATACACTGAGCTCCACTACCACTTAACTTTTGTCATGAAGAAGATAATGTTGGCTTTGGATATAGTCATCCATTCTCCATTTTGATTGTGACTTGACTGTTGATGAAGGATTCTTGACCTTAAGTTATTTCTCTATCCACTAGATGAGTTGCACCTCGGAACTTGCCCTAGTGTGTATCTTGTTTATTTATTTATTTATTTATTTATTTATTTTTCAAATGTAGGACACTTGCCCCAGTTGCTGATGGTTCATCATTTTCAAAACCAGCATATTCCTGCATCAATGAATTACAAGTACAAAATAAAATTGTTATGTAGAAATGTAAAAAGATAAGAATAAAAATAAGAATATGAAGTCAAGCAAAATATACAAAATACATTTGACTTACGTGTCACTGGTATGGGAGTGGTGGGAGTAACTGGCGGTCGCGTGCCTGGAAATTAAAAATAGTTTTAATTTTATATTTAACCCTAAACCAAACAAGATCAGGGCAAATAGCACCATTCCAAAACACCATTCACCTTTTAATATTCATTCTGAAGATACAAAAACCAGCAAATTTAGAACAGGAAAAAATATGTTTGACTGCACTCACCCTGCATATGGTCTTTTTAATTTCCTACGGAAGAACTGCAGACTTTAAATTTGGAAAAGATCCAAAAAGGTTTCTGAAGAGTTTTTATCCGTCTGCTGTTTCTCATTTTAACAGCATAAAATAAAATTTTAGTAACCATACTGTTGCCTCAAAACTTTTTACATTTTACCTGAATAGCAATCCAATTTCCAGTATTTGTGAATTTTTAATTTGTATATTAAACTCTTATCTTGTCATAATAATACTATACCTTCTACCATGTATTTAAAAGATAAAGACTTCAACTTAATTTTATTCTTTTTCATTCAACAATAAGATAAAATCTCACCTTTCCTCATCTTGCAGAAGTAGTTTCGTGCCAGGTTACAGTTAGAATCTTTCCACTTCTCTGTCCTCCCCACGGTCAACTCAACACAGTTTTCCTGCCCGTTATGGTTGTTGGGTTCCCCAGTGGCCCAGTTTGTATAGTCAACGCCTGTGCCATCGCTCCACACATGACCTGGGCAGAAAATTTTATATTTTCTTATCTTCAATATCATATTTTATCTTATTTTTCTTCTCTTTTTTTGGTCAATGATTTCATAAGACAGCAAAGCTGACAAATATACAGACCTCAAACAGGAAATATATGTTGGCTTAATACATGCAAAAAAAAATCAATTAAATACATTATTTATTTGTTCCCAATTAAATACATAAAATATTTTTTCCAGCTGATTTGTGAACTCAACCTTCATTTTTAACAAATAAATTTAAGCTCCCTAGTATAATATAATTTAGTTTTCTGATGACAGACATTTTGTGAAATCTACCCTAGTGGACTAAATCTCATTGAATTATGACTTAACCTCCAAAACTGACTTAAGAATTTTTGTTTAACAAAATGGGTTAGTAGACTAAAAAGTGTCAAATCCATACTGTTTCAGTTCACTAACCTGTTGAAGTATCTCTGTTGTTCAATCCTATCCAAAAGTTTCCATACATGTAAAAATACCTGAAAGAAAGTCCAAGTTCATTTACTATATTTAACTAAATGACTGGACAGTTATTCAGAAGGCCATATGTCTTCTTGTACATTTCTGAAGGAACTATAGACATCAAGTGCTTTAATTTTAGGGGTCTTATAGTTCTTAAGGATTACTTTGGGAAAGGTTACTAATAGAACATCAACTATGGGAAATGTTATTTTAATTAAAATTAAAATGGAACATCAATGAATATAATATGCAAAAATTCCATGTCATTGTATCATGTTGGACTTCCATGCACCATTAGTCTACAAGTTAGACAGCATGCCCATACTACCTGGAAACAATAAGCAGTCATTAAACTGATAATAATAGAGTTGTGGTATTTGGTATGATTAAGCCAGAGATTAAGCTCCTCAGCCCCTGAATGGTGGTGATCACTCCATCTCAAGGGCTATATGAGCCACATAGTTGAAAGATTTTGTATTTATGCACATTCTCAATCCATGTGTACAAGTATTGGCTCATGCAGTTATGCATGCAAATGAGCATGCAGTACATGCATTTTCAATACCTGAAACTGATTGGATGGAAAAAGTGGAACCGGTGGTGCCTCATATCCCGTTGACTGAAATACATATCACAGAAAAAAATATATATATATATATATATATATATATATATATATATATACCCCGACTGCCAAGTCAATGTTTCATTTTCAATTTATATCTTTGTGGTGCAGGTCACATCTGTGACCCAATTATATTGTAACATTATATATATACCATTTTTCATTAGGTAATTGCAGGGGATTTCAACATTTACGTGGATAAAAATAAATGTTAAGTGGCCCAGCAAAATTGATTATCTGTTATCCATGAAGGGGCGTATATTAAAAGTATGTTGGCAATTTTACACACTAAAAGACATGTTTTAAATCTTGTTCTAACAAGGAAAGCTCCTGCCTAAGTCACTTTTTATTGATTACTTTTAAAATTCCCCCTGATCATGCCCATGTAAGCCACCCAGCATCAGTTCGTGTAGTGAAACAGCAGTTTATTTTTTCTTCTGCTAGCTACTATAATTGTATTACTGTATATCCAGTTCATCTTGTAAGCTTTAAAAGGTCGCGTACCTGCTTGGTACACAGGTACATGGGAAAAATAAATCATTCATTAATTCATTCATTTTAATGAATACATGTACATGTACATGTACAGTACTAGAACTTACCCAGGAAATGTACGAGATGACTTCACAAATGTCTCCTCATCCTGACTGTGTATACTCAGCAGGTCTCCGCCATATGATCTACAATCTGCACGCGCCTCTAGCCAAGTTTTTAAGTCTTTTGCATTTCTGTTATAAACAGCCTGAAAAATTCAGCAATTAATAAAGTGCCACGTTTAATGGTGTTGGCAAATTTTCTATTTTAGGTTTAAAAAATCTGGATGCATTTTGGTTTTGTGCCTTATTGGAAGTAAAAAAAGACCTCCATATACTTCTCCACATAAAAATGGCACAACAATGAGGCAACTTTTGACAGCACATGTCATTATAATACCGTTTTTGCCCAATGTGCAACAGCTTGCCAGTTATGACAGGTGAAAAAAAATTAGAACCTTTCATGAGAGCATTAAATGAAACATCAAATCTTTCATTAGATTTTTCAACAAACATTAATATACGTAACTCAAACCGCACCTTCTGTAACAACTGGCAAAATAGGGGACAGAGCATGTTGAAAATAAATACACTATGATGACAAAAAAAATGACCATAAACCACTTCCAATACCTTATAACAATATCCATTTCTTTCAACCCAATCAGCTGGGCAAGTCACAGGGACTGGTGTTGTGGTGGTAGTAGGCGCTGGGGTTGTTCCACCACCAATGGTGTAGTTCCTCTTATATTCACAGATGAAAGTTCTAGAGGTGCCGCAATCTCTGTCCTTCCACTTGGCACTGGGCTTGTCTATTGTGACGCACCTGTTGACTCCATTTCCTATATACGAGTGTCATTAATGAAAAATTTACTTTTCTGATTTGATGATAATAAATATAAATTCAAAAATATTTTTTCTTCCCAATATCAAATTCACAAAGGAATGGCACAAAAAACAGAGACGTTTCATAAGAAATTCATAAAATCACTATTCTCATTAACTTTTCACTTTTTTTCAGAACATAAAAATTGCACGCTCAGTTTTCACATACAATACATATCGATGACATAGAAAAAATACGGATAAAAATGAATTTTGTTTTCCTTGTTTTTTATTTATTTATTTTTTGCACAGCTAAACACTTTTCTTTAGTCTATAACCAACCTATCAATAACTTCTGTCCAAGATTGTAACCTGGCTTACTGGTGTCCCAGTTTAAAGCCTATCTGAATAAATGACTTCAAGCCCAGTTTGTAGCCTATCTGACTGACTGTTATCCCAGTCTCAATTTGTACTGTAGCCTACCTGAATGAATGTTATCCCAGTTTGTAGCTTACCTGATTGACTTCTATCCCAGTTTGTGGATTACCTGAATGACTTTTAAACCAGTTTGTAGCTTACCTGAATGACTGCTTTCCCAGTTTGCAGTTCACCTGAATGACTGTTATCCCAGTTTGTAGCTTACCTGAATGACTGCTGTCCCAGTTTGTAACTTACCTGAATGACTGCTGTGCCAGTTTCTAGCTTACCTGAATGACTGCTGTCCCAGTTTGTAACTTACCTGAATGACTGCTGTGCCAGTTTCTAGCTTACCTGAATGACTGTTATCCTAGTTTGTAGCTTACCTGAATGACTGCTGTCCCAGTTGGTATACCATGCACTGGAGTTCTCACTCCACCTGTAGATACCTGTTGGGTTACTTAGTCCAATCCAGTAACTGTCACTGGGTTGTTGTTTTAACTTGGTGAGGAAGTATGCTTGAACTAAGCTAGAATAATATAAAAATTCATATTACGAGAATAAAAGTTTCAATTCACAGAACAGAAATGAAAATAAAAAATGATGAAAACTGCAATGTTCAAAGAGTATTCCAAAACTTCAAAAACATTAAGTGGGTACTATAGTAGGCAAATCTTGCAATTATGTCTTTTTCATATGTGAAGACATTCAAAAAGTACAATCTTATTAATAAGTGCAGCTACATATCATATGCCCTCTGATGCACACTAAAATAAGGGCATTCAATAGCTCAATCAGCATCTGGGCCATATTATATGGGAACATTTGGCACCATGGAAAAGTCTCAGGATTACAACCTACTCAGCATATCTTTGAATTAGGAGTTTAACCTCCTTCTTATGCTGCAGACGAAGTGTCTGTATCTTAAAAGAATTATAAAAAATAACTTAAATTATTCACTTTGATTATTCGCACTTGCAACCTAGTCAAAATAAAAAGGGAAAATATTACTAAATTTAAAAAATAACAGTACGAGTATGTGGAATCTTACAAATTTTTCAAAGCTGCCAGATGTCCTCCTCCTCTCTGACAGTACCTCTCTGCATCTGCCCATGTGGCCCCCATACTAACAAAACTGTAGCAAGAGGAGCCCAATGCTGCAGTGGCACCCTGAAAAAAAATTATAAAAATGTGTAAGTATGTTTACAAAACCATCATGAGCTGACTCCAACTGCCTGGATTTTGTTATGGTAAAAATAATAATAATAATAATTCTGAATAAATAATCAATTGACTTACACTGGGGCATCCAGTAGGATACAGTGGTAACATGGTGACAGAACTGGACACTGGCACAACCTTTAGCGATGTCTGACAGATGTACATGTGGGTACTGTCACAAGAATCATCATTCCACTCTCCTTTCTATAAAGAATGAATAAAAATTTAATGTACTTATAATTGATGCAGTATTGTATAATTCATAGTGACTGAAAACATACATGATGAACCAAAAAACATACAAAAATTACCTACAAACAGATTTACTATGTGACAAGCATAAAAACTGATAGACAGACAAAAATCAGAATTGGAGAAGAAAAAAGAGACAGAAATAGTAGAGGCAGACAAATGGATGGATAAAAGGAGGAACATGGAGACAGACAATCAGACAGACAGACAGGCAAGGAGAGAGAGAGAGAGAGAGCGAGAGAGAGAGAGAGAGAGAACATGCACTGTGTCAAATTTGCACCTACCAAGTCTGCATTCATAGTAACACAATCCTCGTTGACACCCACATTGTTATTTGGTTCCCCTTTGTTCCAGTTAGTGTAGGTCACTTCTCTTCCATCTGTCCACTCAAAGGTCATTGGTCTCTTGAGGTCATTCAGACCCAGCCAATAGATGCGATTGGTCACTGGAACCAGGTAAAGATATTTTTCTCGTAATTTGACTTCAACAGCAGACACAGGGATATCTTTTTCAATTATGAATTTGAAGTCAGTATTATAATCTTTTTAAGTTATTCATTTGTATTACACAAAAAATTGACAAAAAGATATCAAAAAAAGTCACTCTGTGCTGTATATTGTAACTAAAATACATTTATAATTGATATCAATTCTTAAATATATCAACTAAATATGAAAATATGAAAAGAAAAAAAAAAAAACATTTCTTTTAGGTTCTTATCACTTGAAAAAAATTATGAATGAATTTAATGATCAAAACATACACCAAAGAAGACAAATAAAATGTATAACAATATGTTCTTACAGCTTGCATTAGCCTTTGACTGAGTGGTCAAGAAGGCCTGGTCTCTCTCATTCATAACAGAGGCCAAGTCTCCACCTTTCAAACGGCACTGGGTCCTGGCATCCATCCAAGTAGTTTCTTCAGATACCAGCAGAAAGCAGCCATCGCCAAATTTCTTCCAGCCAGGCCAACAGCCGTATCCTTTGCCTATTAAATAGCAACACAAAGATTAACGTTGTGTTGTATATTAAATGTGGTTTTTACACTGAATTGGAAGCAGTCAATTCGCTAAAAGTACTTTTAATAAACAGACAAAAGAAACAGTATTTTTTCAATAAGTTATGACATATCTTTAAATTCAAGCAAACTTAATAAAATATATTGTTAAATAAAATAAAATAATTTGTATTGAAACAAAAAACTTCAAAGTGTTTCCATTTCAATTACTACCAAAGCACTAAAAAATTCACTCTGAAAATTCTTACATTGTGATAAACAGTACTAAGTATTATAAATAAATAAATAAATAAATAAATACCAGCTGGCAAAGGAGTGGTAGAAGGAGTTCTGGCCACAGTGGTGGAAACAAGACCTACGAAAAAAAATAAAACTTAAAAAATATTAACATTTAATTTTTTTAACAAATGACTGATTTCAGTCCAACTTTTCTTTCTGTGTAAAGCTTTAATTGACATGTCAAAGAAGAAAGGGCCATAAATGTCTAACAATAGATCCTATAGCATTTGGTCGTAACAAATGTTGACAGACCAAAAAGGCAGACAAATTTAAAGTGGCAACTATTCAAAAAGCATCCTTTTCTCCTATTATATATATAATAATCACATCTAACAATTATAGAACAGCATGGTTTCAAAATAGAGTAAAAGGGGAGAAAAAACCAAGATGATAATTTTAAAATAATGTTGTTTATTTTTTATATAATACAATTGAGAACTGTATTACTTTAATCTTACTATTTTGTGCTGCAACTAAACATACATTTTATTATGAAATACTTACCTTTTTTCTTACAGATATATCCAATCCTTATATCACAGGTAATATCATTCCACAATCCAGGACCAAATTCACTAGTAATCTGCATACAATCTTCTGACCATCTGCTGTTTGGCTCACCTAAACAGTGTCATGGTAGAATCACAAATTGTTTCATTTTCAAAATGGCAACCAAATGCAAAATGTCTACTGCATACTTGTTTAAATAAACTGATTTAAAACTGAATAGATAAAACCATAAATATAAATACAAATTTAAGTTTTCTTTGAATCACTTTTGAATCAAGAAATTCACTTTTGATGAATTATCATGTGATAAGATTTAAATAATGATAGATAATAGCTGTATTTCATTGAATCGAAAATTTTATTTATCTGAATTATTGACCTGACATTTAAACTGAAAAAACAATACATTTGCCTAGCATGCATATATTTGAGCATTGTTACCAGTAAAAACATGTACCATAAATAACAGACATTTAAAAGACATGTAAAGTTTAAGGATACAAGGGAAGGAATGTCATTTTACATATAGTTCAAAATGAAATATGAGTTGAGAAGCTGCAGTGTAAGTTGCGAGTGTCATCTTTCCTGAAAAATACACTTTATAAGTGGAGTGGGATATGGGTATGGGTGTTAGTGCAGCTGCAAATATTTCATATTGGGAGTGCAACTTAGCGTAAATAGAGTTAACAAGCACAGGCTCTCAGAGGTTTATGGATTCAAAGGGGGAGGGGTCTTGGCTTCATAGGTATCAAGGGAAGAGCATGTTAAGCAGATATACAGGGGTTCTTGTTTTTGTTTCAAGAAAGAACTCAAAAGAAATATAATAATAGGCACTGTCACAATGTGTGTTCTGCTTTAACAAGATAGAGGAAAAGGTCAACCAGGGTAAGTAATGAATGTTAACTATATGTCAAAGGATTATAAACATCTGATTTTGGGTTACTATTTACTCTATATGCCTTAAAGCTAATTGTATCACTGTAAAAGACACACTTTCTAGGCTGTTCTAAACTTTCCCCAAACATAAAAGGCTGGAGTGCAATCCCTCCCATCATCACATAAAAACTAACAAAATAGCTCACTAATAGCTGCAATATACAAAAAGCATTTGTTCATGCTTTTAAGTGTCAAGTCCCCATCCCCTACACAAGTTCATTAAATTAAAAAAAAGCACATTGCTATAGCATTCTCAACACATAAATACCAACCAGAACTTACTGAAATATCCTTGACATCAAAATAAATGTGTATTAGCACAATTGGATATACATAATAAGGGCATAAAGTCATGTACAAGGGTGGCAGCTGTGAAAGCAACAGGGATATCATGTGTACAGTCACTGCCATATATTATACACTGGTGCAGTATATGTATACTTACTGTAATTCCTTTGATCCACAACCCCAAATTTGTCTTTTAAATTTAAGAAGTATATATATATATACACTATTACAACGACTGAATCACACGCACATACTCTGATCATTTCTTAAATAACATACTTCATATTCGCATGAACTATTTTTTATTATTTTTATTTTATATTATATTTTTAATAATTATCAATGTTGACAATTTTACTGGCTTGTATTTGTCAAAATAAGCAGTCTAATAACACAAAACGAAATTTCTCTGACATGAATACTCCAATAAGAGCCGTACTATATAATATCACTTTTTGTACAGTAAGATGTCCATGGATAGCTACATCACATGGTAATGTTAAACTTATGTTGATATTGCTGCATATTATACTAGTACATGAATTATTGCTGTTATCAAAAGACAAAAAAAAAATCCTCATGTTTTCCACCTTATTCTTACATTGATATCACAGTACATCATATTAATATTAGTATCAAAATTTATAAAAAAAAGCAATATTTTTAATGACATCACACATCATATGCACTTACCTACATCCCAATTGAGATAGGAAAAAGGCGAGCCATCTGTCCATCGCCAGCCTCCTTCTGACTTCAAATCATTGCCACCCAGCCAGAATGTAATGGGATATGCAATGGCAGAGATTTTGCCTGAAAATTAAAAAAAATAAAAATAATAATAATATTACAGGTTTATTATACTCTCTTTGCAATAATACAAAATATTAATTTAAAAATGGAGTAAGATTCAATCACTAAAAATAAATATTAAAGAAAATACTAAAAATAAAAGATAGTGTTTGTCATTCTTTAAAAAGCTAAAAGTTCAAAAGCATGCACAGTTCATTGACACAGAAATTGATTTGGAAGTTTATTACTTTGAAGTCACGTGGTATATATATATGCACTGTATGGGATTGTTTTATTTATTTATTTATTTATTATTACTTTTATTTATTTATTTATTTATTTATTTAATTTAATTTACTTTTTTTTGAAAATGATTAGAATATTTTTCTTCACGTGTCTTGTCTTATTATAATTATTATTCCTACCCATGTGCCAATCCTACTTACTAGTGATATAACCCTGTTCCACCACTGAGGTAATACTGGCCAGATCGCCTCCATTGGCTCGGCAATGGGACAAGGCATCATGCCAGGCCAATTCTTCTGAGTGGAACTGATAGCAGTAATCATTTAGAGGATTGTCCTCCCAGAATGGACCGCACTTCGAGGACCAGGCGGCTGGAATTATAGTACTGGTATTTAAATATATCCAAAAAGGGATAAAAATGAAATCGAAATATGATATAAAACACACACCAACCTCAGGAAGCGTTAAGTGATATCTTTACATGGCAAGTTCTAACCAACGTATCTTCTTGAATGAATAGAGTACAATGCATTATGATCAAGCCAATTTCTGGCTTTCCCGTTTTTTTCGGCATGAAAACATTTGTCATTTACAGGATATAGTCTGACTAAAAATTGTTAATGTATTTTCCAATTTTGTTTTGCTATCATATCATTAATTTGGTGTAAAATATAACCCAACTCAATCAGAATAATATCATATTTAATTCCTAAACAGGTTCTTTTCAAGTTCCAGTCATGTGCTTTTTATTATGGGTGAGTTTTCTTAATTTATACAATATATTTACTTGTTGATGCTGCTGTGGTGCTCTGTAGAGGCATAGCCCCCTTCTTGCAGACAAACTGCCTCTTCAAGCTGCAGTCAATATCATTCCATTTGCCTTTGAAAGATACAGCGCTTCCAATGATTTCGGCACAATTCTCCGGCTGGCCGTCACCGCCACGGTTATTGGGCTCCGAGGTCCAGCTGAGTTTGTTCCAGTTGGTGTAAGGCTGAAAGAATTTCATAATCATTGTCACCCATCACTGAACTGTTAGGGCCCATTGCCAATGATAAACTCTCATTATCTCATTCTATGTCCCCAACTCCTCAGGGACTCTCACTGAATGCAGTCATATTAACATGCCTCCTTCTGGCCTTGAGTAGAATTCAGAAAAGTCTGGTGGTTATATATGACTTCATTGGAAACAAGAGGAGGTGTGTTAATCTGTTTGCATTCAGCGAGAGTCCCCATGGATCTATGTAAAATGACAGCCCTTAGTCACAGGACACAGCAATAAATGAAGACGTCCTTAAAGTGCAGTTACCAAGGCTGCTATTAGTACCTACCACATCAGTCTGGGAGGTCCAAACCCAAGTGCCTTCTAATTTCCTGTCATTTAGTCCAAGCCAAGCATTGTCACTTAGTTTACCTATAAATACAGACAAGGTAATTGACCTACCTAGTTAACGTCATGAGCATGTTAAGTAGTTTACCTGGGATAATTTGTCTTACCTGGTCTTAAAAATGTGACAATTTGTTTATATATGAACAATTTAAGGTACATCTTCTACAAAAGGGAATTTCACTCTAGTCTGGTATCATAATGGACTTCAAATGTTATAAGATCAACATTAATTATAATGGCAATCTGACATAACCAATAATTCTTACTAGTATCTATAATGTCTATATTAGTATATGAAAGAGCTATAAGTTCTTTGTGTTAAACTGGCCAGCAGTTCATGCCAGTGTCATGTAACCAGCACTACTTACTGTCTATGAAAGAACTTTCCCTGTCTGAAGTTAAACTGAGCAGATGTGCTCCCATGCCAGTACAGGACTGCTCAGCTTCAACCCAGGTTGTCGCATTATTGGAAAAATAGTAGCAGTAGAAGGAATAAGCTTCCCAGCCAGCCTCACAACTCCCCTTGGCTGAAGAAATAATAATAATAATAATAATAATAATAATAATAATAATAATAATAATAATTTGTATACATGATGCAGTCCTTCACAATGTCAGTGCACTTTCCATATTATAAGCATATTACAAGTTGCTTATTTAAATTCTAAAAAATATTTATCTAAAGGAGTTAATTATAATTGATTGAATGATTAACTTTACACATTGGAAGATTGGAGTATTAATTAATTCTAACCAATTTTACCTGGAGCTACTGTAGGTGGCAGCACCACCTTTTCACTTCCAATCTGACACACAAATGGCTGCTCCAGGAGACAGTTGCCATTTAAACTCCACTTTGCGTTGGCATCACCTGAGTAATTAATTCATAAGTCATTTAGAGAAACCAAGAATAAACAGCTTTTGCTGTTGGCTTACAATACATGCAAACTAATAAAACTTAATTATGCATCTGAAATTAGAATATCCTTCCCATGGCCATACTGTTTATTGAAGGAAAATAATCTAGTAACTTAAATAAATATTTCCAAATTTTAAATGACTTCACTGGAATATTTCACAAAATAAATAAATTTATAACAAAATAATCATACTGTTTAAAATACATTTGTTTAAGCAATTTATACATTATACTAAATTGATTCAGACTGCAGTATTTGATTTGGTGACATTCTTTCAAGCACTGAACAATTTCAAGCTATTTGAGATGCGTGTGCCAGCAGTTGGCTAAGCTGGCCAGTTGGATGGAGTTTTACTGACCAGCAAATATCTGGACACAGGAGCTGTTGAGCTGACCACTGGGCTGGGTTGACCAGTTGGGTGAGGTTTTACTGACCGGTGTCCCATCCACCCACTCCAAATTGCTCCCATCAGAAGTTGCTATAATAGAAAAGTTAATGGCGTTCAATTTAATCATCACACAAAATTATTCCTTTATATTTTTAACTAGTTCTTTTTTACAGAACTTTGAAAAGTATCTACACTTTACTTAATTTTGAAAGTACTGTCAGTCATAATTTTGGCCATTATTTACTTTACACAGGCCAATGTTTAGGCAGGAAAAAAGTCCTGTTCTAATCAACTTTGGCTTATGTCAAAAGGGAAGAAATGATAAAATATGGAGTAAATAGAAGTACGTGTAATATCTGAAATATTAGCAAGCCTAAGAGGGTTTAAATTGTTGTTTTCAGAAATGGCCACTTTGTGTAAGATATGCTTTACTGTCACATCAGTGTGTGTAAAATAGTTACAATCAGAAAAATTAAACTTCCAATTTAATTTCTTACAAATAGTTACAGTGATAAATTGTGAAAATAATTTGGCAGATGACAATTGTTATGTCATACTGCCAACACATATCGTTAGTCACTTGCTTTATATCTTCTTTCCATGTGTTTCAGTAATTACATTTTGCATTTCATAAATTCTGAAAGGAGAATAAAACACTCACTCTTGGCACCAATCCAAAATGAAGAACTCTGGCTAAACTCTCTTTTATTCAACTTCAAAAAATTCTGAACTTCTGGACTGAAAAAGCACAAAAACACAGCATTCATTGGTGATGCTATCTGTAAATGAAATGATCAAATTAATAAACCAATCACTCAGGAGGGTTTTAATAAAAAATAGAGTCATTTGACCCTCTAGTAAGACCTTCAAGTCCAATATGACAAATCCCAAGTACAAAAGGTCATCCAAATATTTGAAATTGTAACACTACTTTGTTCATATTACTAATTTTGTATAACAGCATGTACTGGAACAAAAATCTACTAGTATGTTTGGTACTAAAACTGAGAATTAACCACATTAGCTTGCTTCATCAACATTATTATTAAATTATACTGCATGCTAAAGTCAGACAGCCAACATTTTAATATTTACTTTTAACCATCTTTGCTAAAATTTATTTTAGACTTCATTGCTGTCATGAAACAGACCCCATTTTTTATCCCATGCCCGTGGCCAAGGGGGTTCAGGGGGGGGGGGTAGAATGGGCTGCCCTTTTTGCAAGGCAAAGGCCCCCTATGGGTAAATTTTATCTAAGTGCAAGAAGATTTTGTGGTAAAAGGTTCGCTTTTTCAGAAAAAGAAAAAAAAACACTATGCTCACTTGTAAACTGTGACCATACTGCCTCCTTGAGAGTTACAGTAGTCAACGGCATCCACAAAGGACAATCTCAGGTTGGAGTTCAGTTGATAACACATGTTCTTGTTGATCTTCCATCCAGCCGCACAAGTTCCTGAAATATACAGTTGAATATAGGAATCAGTGAAAGCTCATTCTGTTTATGTTCTTAAGTCCAAAGAAATAAGATTATCTGCATTTCTCTTTTCTTAGTTTTCTGCAGTAATTTTTATTGACAAAGGATATTGATTTGCCACTGATACTGAACTAAGATAATTTAATTTTCTTTTTCAACAATTGCACTTTGAAATACAAATCTTTTCTATAACCCCCCCCCCCCCCCAAACAAACAAACAAACAAACAAACAAACAAAATAATATCGGGCTAAACCTGCACTAGTATATATAAAACTAACAGCCCTGTCTCAGATAAAAAAGTTCAAGTACCAGTACTTCTTTCATAAAATGCTTACTGTTGCTACAAAAATCTCAGTAATTAAGGCACCATATCAGTTTATTTCACATTACCTTCAGGTTTTTTACAGATATATGGTCTTTCTACGGAACATTGAGCAGTGGCCCAGGACTCGCTGGCTGTCAGTGCAGTAGTTATTATCTCAACACATGTTGTATTGGCTCTGGCTCTGAAGCAAATAAGAAATATGTGAAGACTTTTTTCTATGTTAGCAAACACAATGTGAAGTACAGCTTACACAAATCATAAGAAAATATTGGGTTTGAATGACCTAATGTTCTAGCCAGTGATGTTTCTTCCACAGTTAAGTACTATTGCAAACAGATCTGTCAAGGTCTTCTCTTGAGCTATGGTTACTGAATCATCTAGCACAGTGTGACTTGACCATACTACATTTGTTGCTTCTTGCATCTCACACAACATCAGATAATAACTTCAACAAAACAGTGGTTTTCATAAAACAGTCACTATGGCATATTTGTCAATAATAATATCAAACACAAAATCTCAGTACAACCATCCACAATGGCACAATCTCAGCCTGTCACACCAAACGCAATGTAAAGTTATACTTTTCCACAAATGGCTGTCGCTGTGCCCATCTTGCAGTTGACCCAATTCCCAACTCATCTCCTGTCACCCACTGAAACTTGTTTGTTGGAGTAGTTGTAACCTAAACAGGAAAATACAGAAAAATTAAAATTAAAACCATTACAATGTGGTTCTCAAATCAATATCAATAATCAATTAATATAAACCATTTTTGTCTCAAATTTTGGATTCTGAGTGGTTCACATATGTCTACATATATGATACTAAAAAAAATGTCCAAAATTTGATACTGGCCCAGATTTGAAAGTTAAATACCAACTTTATCAAAGCTGTACCTGCATCATCATGCTATCAGGGCATAACCACTTTGCATATTATGTATGGAAGTAACATACCTTTGCCTTTAGACCAATCCAAGATGGCTTTCCTTTACACTTGACCGTATCCAGAAGGTACTGTTGCTCTGCATCAGTTTGTATATCTGGAAGATCGGCTCCATAACGTTGGCAGTCAGCCCTGTCCAAAGAGAAAAGATTCCAATAAAGGGCTAAATCATCCACCTGTCTGTTATACAACTGGGCAGTATCTATCTCCCTTTACATCTCTGTTGAGATCAGTAAATGGGCCTGTAGCCAGCTATTTCTAATAAAAAAAATCAAATTTTTTACCTCAAAAAATTTTGATTGAGAATTGGTCTTTTTCTCTGCCACTGGCCAAAAGACTGAAAAGAGTGGTTCCTTCCTATCCCCCACCCCCATCCCATCACCCCCCTCCCAACCCCCACCAAAGGGCCTGATTAAAAGGTCTATACATGCTATACACAAGAAACATGAGCTTACCTAGCTTCATTCCAGTTCAGTTCTGTTTCAAAGTGTTTGTAACAGGAGCCCTCCACATCTTGCCAGTCTGGGGGACACTTGCTGGGCTTGCCTGGAACCAAAGCATCTCGTTATTATGATAAAACTGAGAATTACGAAATGATGGCTTGAAAAATCTTAAAACAAAATCTTCAGTCTAACTTCAACTGAGTTAATTACAATTCGATAAGTGACTCGATCTAGAGTAGAACATGGCTGATTGTATAACTTATAGATAAATGCCAGTATATATCTTAGAGTACTTAAGTTACCACCTTCCCTCCCCCCATGTGAAATGTAGCTCTGTTTGTTATTTTAAGACACTAAATACGCAGATTAAGCTGCAACTTACGATGTGAATCTGTATTTCAGTTTATCCACGGAAATAATTTGTAAAAAGGGCAATAACTATTTGCCGATAACTCTAGAAAATTTGTGGATATCTGTCGATGAAATATAGCATGGCATTTGTAAAAACTTCTTCTTTTATAATTATTATCACTTCGTCAAAAGCACTTTCCTGCCTAGCAATGTGTTTGATCTTTTCAACATTTCATAGAATTTTTAAACTATATGATTTTTAAAATATATGATTTTATTTCTATACCTATCTACCTACTAGTATCTATCTACCGTAGGCCTATCTATCTAAACTGTAGGCCCTATCTATTACCCAGAAATTCGTTGTGGAGGAGGTAATTAACAGCGCCTTTTAATTAAATGTATAATTGTTACAGGCCTACCTTTCATGCTTTTGCATATGTATGGCATAACATTGTCGCAGTTGTTATCGTTCATCTTTCCGTTTGTTACCACTTCCCCGCAGTGCTCTATCCCGGCGTAGTTGTTAGGCTCTCCTGGGCTCCAAGTCCTAGAGGAATTAAAAGGAAAGGAAAAAATAACAGATGTCTTTCAAAGTTTTTGACGGCCGGAACACATGTGAAGAGCTCATCATAAACGGAGTTTTTAAAAAGGGCAATAAAGGGGGGTACCGGAGCATTGGATACCGGCGGTACCGGGGTGTAAAGTGCTCAACTTTAATAACTTATTATATTTCAATCGCTTAAATTAAGAAAAACAATAGATAGGTCTACGAGTACATGCAGAAGTGCTGAACATGCAAAAAGACATATAATTAGAATGGGCCAACTGAACTCTAAAAATGGCTTTATATTCGATAGTTTAACAGGCGCATGCACGTAAAGGCATAAATTATGAAACAAAAATTAGGCATCACTTTTTAAAAAAAATAATATCAATAAATACTACTGTTATCTTAATCAATATTGTGTTAGCCTTTTTATTTTATTTTACTCATTTTATTTTCATTTTATTTATTTGCCGAAGCTATATAGGCTTAAATTGTTTCTATTTTTATACTTACACAAGGGATGTGTCATTATTTCCGTCCTCCCACCGCCAGGAACCGCTGTTGTCGCTGTAACCGGACCACCACTGCCACGTGCGTGAATCTTGTGCTTGATAAATCAACATTTGCTTCTTCAGCCAGTCCTCAAAGAACAAACAGAATAAAGTCATTAATTAAAAAAAAGAAAGACTCTGTAAACTTCAGTTACTATTAAAGATATTGTTGGTCTGAATACATTTGAAAAAAAAGCTTTTTTTTTCTTTTGGACATTTTCTTAATCAAAGACAACGTTTTTTTTTGTTTTTTGTTTTTTGTTTTTTGTTTTTTTTTTCGCTACCCATAGTATTAATTCTAAAAAAAAAAATTAATCAAAGACGCATAACTAATGCGTAATTTTAGAAAAAAAATCATTTGCGGTAATGAGGTGAGGTTCACCTACATATCTTTGCACATGTTCCTAACAATTCTGAGAAGAGGAGTTTTCAGAACAGCGTACAAGATATTTTCCTCCCCTAGCTGTGGGTCTCATGCCAAAGCCCGCTTTTTATGTGTCACTGGTTTGATAGGCCTATATCATCTGAGACTGGGTTCCCATCCCTGGATCGATCTAACAGGACTCGTCCATCTCCACGTGGTTTCTCGCTAAATTGCTTTCAACCTAAGTGGCTTAGGTGTCTGGTACGCGTAGCCTGTTAAAGCTGCTAAACGATAGATAATTGCCCCAGGTATTAGCGTCAGTAGGCGTGACGGACATAAAAGCCGCTTAAGTTAATTTCAATTAAGCTAGAATCCCCATGGAGATAGTTCGATCCAAAGTTAGTACGATAGGGTCTGGGTATGGTCTCTGAGACACTAACCTTTTCTCCCTGAGATGAGTATGAGAATAGATCTCCTTGTTGCGCTACGCATGCTGCTCTTGCCTCACTCCACGACTTCTTAACGTCATATGTATTGAACTGGAAGCAGTAGTCGGTGACTGGACTCTCCAGCCATCCCGGTGGACACAACTGACCGTGAGCTGGAAAATTCAGAAACAACGCCCTTGATTCATCAATGTATTATTCAGCATTTTATTTGGACATATAGGCCCTAAGGCGTGCGTTATAGTGTGATAAGAGGTATATGCAAGTTGTATGTTGCTGTAGAAATACAATATTGTCCAGCCATCAAAATTCGCACAACTCATTATTCATCTTCCCATTAAATTGGTTAATATTACCTAAAACTTTTTTCGTTGGACTGATGAGCGGCTTTTACCTGCTTTTACGAAATTATGGATTAAATAAAAACCTGATAAAAATAGATAGAAACACTATCTAGGCCATCAGGGTTAAGTCTTGCGTTCAGCTGCTTGGAAATTAAATCTAGATTTGTCAAATAACACGCTCCAAATAACAAACATCGAAGCGATAAAGGCATTGAAATAAAAATCTTAAAGGACAACTAACCCTTTGACATAATTTCAATAATCTTGCTGACAGCGTTTATTGAATAGAACAAAGACAACAGTTCTATACATTGTCCTTAGAGCTCATTTACACCGTTTTATATTTTTCCTCAGTGGTCTGAAGTATTCAAGCCTGTACAATACTGTATAATGCAATCTGTCAGGAAAAATGGCTCGGATGCGATAGTGAGTTCACATCCGTGACAACTGTGACTCATGTTAACGTGAAATGCCCCTATAAGACTAGGTTTCCATGCCTAGATCGATCTAACAGGATCGATCCATCTCCAAAGGGCTTCTCGCTAAATTGTTTTCAGCTTAACCGGTTAGACGTCTGGCACGGCTACTGGAGCTGCTATACGATAATTAATTACCCCCTAGCAGCTTCAGTAAGCGTAACAGATATCTAAGCTTAAGTTGATTGCAATTTAGCGAGACATTATCCCCTTGAAGATAGATCGATCCACAGTTAGTACGACTGGGTCTTGAAATGGTCCCTAAGATCTGCCTACTCCTGATGTTGAAGCATTGACTTTTTCCTTATAATAATAAAATGTATTTTATACATTAAAAGAATTGCTGATTTCCGCACAAGACAAATAAGCTGCTACATTGTAGGTGGCATCTACCAGAGCTGTCTTACGAAAGTTATGCTAAGCGTGGAGTAAGAATAGTACTTGTACATTGTGTAAACAATTTTTTTACTTTTGGTTTAAAAAAAATCCAATTTAACAGATGCCAGTTTAGTTTCATTTTGTTTATCGCTGGGTCGGTGGGTTATAAATGATACTTGACACCGTATTATTACTCCAGTAATTTTTTGTCCTTATTTTCAATAACCCATTGTTTTTCAAGGTAATGATTAACGCAGTGAAATAATAATAATACGATACTTTTCTTCATACAAAGTACTACATGCAGATTTCTGACGCTCTAATTGAAAATAAAATAGCAATTTCGAATTATCAATTGTAAAAGTGTGTCTTTCTGAAAAGCTTTTATCTTAAAGAAGGGTCAACATATGCTCACGTGTTTAAAGTTACAAATGCGGTCGTAATAATTGATGAAAGAGAGTTAAAACAATGCAGTTAACGAACTACAAAAGCTAGGTAGGGGAATAAGGTTACTTCTTATCAGAGATGACAATAGGATTAACACTTCTTGTTATGGTATTGAGAGGCTAGATGAGACCAAAAGTTACTATACCATAATATCACGGGTTAATTATAATAAGTCACTGATTAACTAATGTTGCGACCTTATCTTTAGAGGGTCCTCTTTGATACATAACCATCTTCAAAACAAAATAAACACCAACCTGCGGCGAGGGTTGATACATATCACTCAAGTAAATATTTTTAATTCAGTGGGTCAACTACTTTGCCAAATTAAATCCTCTACCTTTTCTGGGCACTTAAACGCCCCGGTGTCAATTTTTTAATTTACGTATACCCCCTCCCAACACACACATACACACAAACGCACGTGCGCTTGAACGAACGTATTGATACGTTGATTCAACCTATGAGTAATATGTCTATTTGTCCTATAACTGAAACTAACCCTAGATGATATAATACCCTGATCACGAGATGTGTTCACGTAGGTACAGGTTCACATTATTGTATAGATATAGATATTTGACTCTCTGAAATTCTTGGGGTTTTCCCTATAACTTACACAATTATATTTTTCATGGCAAACATAAAGTTAGTATCAGCCATGCTGAAACTTATTTTCATTAAAAAACAAAGTGTTCTTTAATAAGCGTTCATTGTTATCAGAAACACTATATTACATGTAAGTAAGATCCCGTTTGTTGCTGAAAGGAATTGATTTAGCGCGATCAATTGTCATGATTTCTTTTGGTGCCCTGTGCAATATTAAAAAAAATTATTCCGGCCTTAGACATAAGTTTAGTTTTAAAATAACAGAAATGCAAATGAGAGAATGTTTCATCATAACCTGCACTATCCATTCTGTAATCAGGTACTTTTATTTGAGGGGTTTAGGCACTTTTGAAGAAAGGATTGGGAAAGGCAAGTAGCCACATTACAAATGCATATACATGCGGCTTTAGAATATGAGTTAACTTCTAGAAATGACCCAAATTATTAAAAAATCAGGCAGTCGTGGCCGAGTGGTTAAGGCGACAGACTAGAAATCTGTTGGGGTCTCCCCGCACAGGTTCGAATCCTGTCGACTGCGATACATTCCTTTTTTTCTGCAGTCCCTGTCATAACAGGTGATTCTAAAGTTGACGAAAACAACTATAAAAGCTACTGCCCGTGTCAATAAAAACTTGCACTAAACAAAATTGAGAGTGAAAAAATGCATCAACGCATCGCCGCAAATATCCGTTCTTGAAGATATTCAATTTCCGTTGAGCCGAAAATAAGAACAGTAAATACAAGCAGGGTGGGGTCTTACGTAAGCCAGAGTGAATGTCTAATTTTTCTTTAAATACGGGCATAGTAGCTTTTTTTTTAATCTAAAAACAAAAACAAAAAAATACAGAATTTGTTTTTGTTCTTGTTTTCATTCCACATTACTATTTTACACACTATACGACTTAATGCAGCTTTCCGTATCGCTTCGTCATTATTCTTCTTGCGGTCGGTGTTACAAAACTTGATGGAACACACTGCTCAGCAGTGCTCTAATATTTGGAGTTGTTGACGAAAGCTTGGGCAACGACCACCAAAATTCAAAACAGATGCCGTTTGACATAGAACAATCTATGCAGTTAAAATTACACAACAAGTGGTGTGAAGGGAGGCCAATTCGATTTCTAGCGTAAACAACACTATATCGTAGTCCCCAACATGTGCACGTGTTCTCTGGCTTCAAATAAAACAATATTTGAAGGAAATAGGAGCGGCGGGACGCGTGAGTTTTTATAAACCTTTTTTTTCTGTTTTGTAGAACTTGGTTTGATTGGACTATTAACCTGTTGTCCTTCAGAAACTACATTTAATTTGATTAGGAGTAAAGTGAGAATATTGTGGTAATTTACACTTTCCTCGTTGCGTACTGGCATTTCGTATAAAAAGGGTAGATGCAGCCGTGCTCTCAAATTTGCCAGTTTTCTGGCTATGACACCGAGGGGCTTAGAAAGACTAATTACGTTCATTAAAGATAGGGATGGCAAAAAATGGGACGAAGATCAAGAGCCCCTTCTCTTGCACTGGCTGCCTTAGGCCTATCTACAGGATGGTTAAAAACAATAGGATGCCACCCCTTCCTCTCTGTTCCCCTATCGCATATTATTTTATTGACTTAAGATAACCCAAAGGACGACCTCTCGCCTTCTATAACACAGCGGGTCCATACCTTGGTGCAGTTAGATAATGATAACATAGTACACAGCGCAGTAGAAGTTCCATGTGATAACTTGTCTCAATGAAAGGATCCTCCCCCTTCGGCCTCGAGATCACCCCGGAATCGAGCATCCACCCCCTCCACCTCCATCCTACAAGAGCTAAGTTGACCCCAATCTGCTTTGTGGATTGTGTCGGCCACGATTCTGCGTTAATATCATACCTCAGTTGCCGCCTCTTACTTTCATATACCAACCCAAATTTGTCAATAAGGTCCCTGATTTTTCTGTCGCTATTTTTGTGATAAAAAGCACAAGCTAAACTATGCTTTTTAGCCAAGACCATTGCTCAAGATGATAACGTCGAGGTCTGTGTAATTTAAACCACGGTCTTCAGATGTGGCAGGGTAGTCGTATTAGGCAACATGACGAATTTAATTCGTGTCTTTTTCTTAAATTTCGCATTATAATGATTTTAACATGTGCTTTATAACACAACATTCTACTGAGATGGATATGGTAGTGGGTGGATTATATTTCACTAGATTGCGAGAAGTACTGACTGAAAGCGCACAGCGTATTTATAAGCGATTTGACATCACTACTACGGCGATCACTTCAATAAATTTAAGTCGTTTTAAACCTGGCAGTCAATAAAACATGATGTTATCAGATATAGGAGGATATCAACACCAGCGGTGCTGCCTTAAGTAACTATCAAAAGCATACACAGTATTCTGAATATCGGGGCATTCCAGTCAAGATCGGGTTAAGTATGTTACGTGGGACCTGTCATGGGACTGGTAAAATTTTTCAATCTGCATGGAGGCCACTGCGTATTACTTCTCATGCTTACATGTGATTCATTTCGTAACGTGGACCATAGCAGAACGTTAGCTAGTGGGCCCCCCGTAACATTTCCTTGTCATCCGCGTTAAACATGAATATCAGTTATGCGACTTAAACAAGTAAAAAATCTAGAAGAAAAAGAGAGAAAAAAAAGCTGAAACATTTTCTTTAACGTACCTGAACTTAAGAATAGTACAATTCCAATAAATAAAACTGCTGGGTAGTAAAAATGCTCCATCTCGCCTCGAGTCGCTTTGACAAAATCAAGCACGCATCCCCTGTCCCACGCTTCGTTCTCACCGAGTGCTCCGCACTAAATGTACAAAAACAGTCGCCGTCCAACCTTCGCGTTGAAATAAAGTTAAAGAATGCCTTTGTACAACTCACATGATGTAGATTGTTAACGTTAGTCAAACCTTTGGACGCACGACAGTTAAGGAGGCCGATAAGGAACCAGCTACCAGCTGATAGCCCCGTTTAAGCCTGTGACGTGTAGCGTCACATGCGCCGTGGGTAGGACGGCTGTTTACAAGCCGTGATTGTTTTTATACTATGAATAAACAATGGCGTAAGAACGCGTTTGGATGATTATGAGAAATTTTCAGATTTATATAAAATGCATGTTAGAAGCGTTAATTAAGCGTTTTTAATTGGTTAGATATGAGGTTGAGACACGTACACCACAAATTGTAACTGAATTAGTCTTTATTGCGATAAATTACAATGTTCTATATGTATCATAATGGGTAAACAATTACATTAGGGGAGTGTTTTATGAGTAAACAACTGCATAGGGGTGTTTTGGAGAAAAATCTGAGTAGTGTACAATATAACCTTAATCATCTTGGGAGAGTTCAGTAATGCGCTCATCTTATTTAATAGCTTTGAAAGTCTTAGTTTTCACAGCACGTTCTTTGTTGTTTTTTTTTTTCAGAGACATTCTGGCAAGGTTTATTTTATGTTGTGAGGTCTCTGCTACTTCAGAGTGCAACAAACCCCCCACCCCATCTCGTCCCGTTCTGTGCTGGCTTGCATGCTCTTTTATTTCTCCCACTGTTTTAGCCATGGTCAAATTGGCCTGGCCAAAAAAGACCACTAGAACTTTCGAGGTCGCTCACATTACTAGGAGTGTGTAGAGTTGAAATCCTTCACGTTGGGGTCTTTCGGTATATTGGCATTAAACCAATTTTTAGCGATGCTTTTTGTTTACGATCCCCATCTCTGTGTTATTCGCAGTAGTAATTATAAACGAGTTGATAAACGCGATCACAGTTGACGCCTACTGATCCAAGATATAACTTATAGGGCTACTTTGAAAAAATGCGATTTGGGACGTTCTTCACTACTGATCTCGTGAACACATCTCAACAGCTTTGTATCGTATTCTTATTATTCAGTTGCATCACCTTGTGGTCATTCAAAATTCCAGCAGGTAAACGATTTTTCTCATATTTTAGCCTTATTACATCAGACCATATTCGAGATGGACGCGTCGCGATAAATTCTCCCCAGTTTTTTTTAAATATATATATATATATCACCCTGATTGAATAGATTTAGAGAAGCTAGGCAAACTGACAAACAGGAAGGTCCGTCAGCGGCCTTTTGATCTCTGGCTTGTTCACTTTTTACAATCTAAAACGACTGCGGCGAAGGAGGAAGTAGCGGAGGAACGTTTTTCGTTTCCTTTTTTATCAGTTTCTATCAATAATTTGATAACGCTTTTCTGGTAGCCAAAGGCAACAGATGGCACCTGTTCTTCATCAGTGCCACACAGGGTTTTATACAGGATATTAGACGACTTTTGACGCTTGTTAATGCGGAGGAAGAACAAAGGCGAACGTCGGATCGAGGCAAGGGTAGGCAGAGAGAGAGAGAGACAGAAGAGGCGGTTAAAAATGAGATAGAGAGAGAGAGAGACAGAGATGAAGCAGCAGAAGAAGAAGAGATCTCTTGATCAGCAGCTCCCAGGTGCTCCCTAACGTCCGCATCAGCACGTCTACCTCGCTTTTCACAGATATGTACAAAACAATTTTTCTTCATAAACAAATGTTCTACGATATTTTCTCTTGAATTTCCTTTATGTCGAAAGGATTTGTCCTTCTTGGTCCACTCCCATCGTTAATAATACTTCCTGGTTTACAGAGTTAACGAGAAAATACAATCAGCGTGACATTTTGACAAAAACAAGGAAAAAAGAATAGTAGTATTTTGTCTCTTTGGATTTTTGTTATGGTTTGCCGAAACCTCTCTCTCTAAATAACTGTTGCAAATAAACATGTGAATCTGGGTTAGCGGGACTGGTACGAGAACACACGAAAACAACCATCGAGACATTTGATTGAAAAAAAGACAATGAAAAATAAAAATAAAATCGATAAGATGAAAACTTTTGGTGTAAACAAAATTGTAGATCTTGGATTGCGAGTCAGGTTCGTTTATACACAAAAAACAACTATAACGGCGTTTGGTTGCAAAATAAAACAAAAGAAACAAAAAACAAAAAAGGAAAAATCTAATTATAATTGAATTGTCACAAAAATATGCATGTAAACCCGGGATTGCCAAACACGAAAAGAACCATAACGACTTTTGATTTAAACAGAAAAATAGAAAAAAAAAATGTTTAAAAAAACGCGAGATGTTGTTTCAGTATCTGACCTTCTTTTCTAAATTAGCAGTGGTGTGGACACAGCTTCACAATGCTTTTAACCTTCAGGTTGAGAAAATCATACATTTGGTTTACTGTAGGGATATTGCTCTTTTTAATCACTTTTCCTGTTTTTGAGAAAGAAATTCAGGTACAATGTCAATATTTTCATATAAATCGACCACATTTACTTAATATTGAAGATTCGTACATGTATATTGTCTTTGAAAACAGCCAAGCGGGGTTGGGGGGGGGGGTTGAAAAAACCGCTCCATATGCCGGGAAAAGGTCTGCTCTGGGTAAAACTTGATCTAGATACATGAAGGTTTCATAGTAAAAAGTCCACTTTTCCAGATAAAGGATCCCTCTTTGAAATTGCTGGCTACGGGCCTGAGGCTTTAGAATTCCAATCCAATCTAAATCAAATTCTAATTTTGACACATTTTCCAACCCCATCCATAACAAACACAACAACAAAAATTGTTTCCATAAAAGAAAACATCAGTGTGTACTGGCAGTTCCGGTATCTCATGACTGTAACGTTATAACTTCACCGACTCCTCGAAATCAAACATATCGTACATCGGGTTCTCAATACTACTAGATCTGTCCTCGGCTTTATCAGCGTCACGTGTCACGTAAGTAATGTCGGCCACAGAGAAAGAGGAACGGTGTCGCTTAAGCACTATGCCACCTATGGTCACAAGAAGGGCTGCGATGATGACGCAGAGGACAACTAGACCAGCTATGTTACCGCCTGTTAAGACATCACCTGGAGAAGACAAAGGAGTACATTTAAAATGACGTTTCTTTGCAAAATCATTTAAGCAATTTATAAGCTGGTGATGAAAGTCGATCTGTGACTCATAAATTTCATCATTATGTATACGCTGGTCCATTTATATATACTGGACATGGTACACGGGTCACTCAAATTTTTTGAAGGTGCATTTGGGAATACAAAAGGGGTTTAACATTTGTAATGATATGAAATACTTTATCTTTGTTAGAAAACTAGACCACCAGTTTAGGTTACACATCATATCCTCGCCTAGTTAATCTAGGTTTCCCCCATCTGCAGAGTTCAACTATCTGAAAATACTACTGATACAGAAATATGTTTTGTGTAAGGTTGCCCTATGTTACTGTTCTGTCAGAGTGATATAGTTTGCTGGGCTGCCGTATTATAAAATTCTCATTTCTTTCCCAATGTCCACCGCCTAAAAGTTCCTGTAATCACTTTTATCTTACCACTGGCGTTATCTTTTATCTTTCTCGCGGAGCCTCGCTCTGCTGGCTCAGCAGGCCTCACAGTGCCAACAGACTGCGTTGATTGCGGTAGATGAGACATTGATTTTGTTCTGGGTGAACTAGCCTCTGCGGAGGTCGGCATTACTGCAACGACAACATCAAGGGCCGGTTATACTCTAATCCTTCTTTTACTGTGAAAACGGAACAAAACCCGCTTTTTTTTGCATTTTAGAAAAAGCCTTTTCAGTTTTGAAAAACATTACTTGAAATAAAAAGATCTGGGCTAAATGTAAGAAGTTTTTACAGATCAATACGCGTATTGTTTCAGAGTATAATATTCAACTTGATAACTAACCAGAGCTTACTTTTGTTCATTTTACAAATAAACCCCTTGCTCCTGTCACATCGGTTGTCATTCCACTTCCCCGAGTCCGCCAAAAGTTCCACGCAATTCTCTTCGTTTCCAGAGTTACTTGGCTCTCCTTCGCCCCAATAAGTGAAACTCAGAGATGTGCCGTCAAACCATTTGAAGGTATCTAGATGAAGATCAGTTAGAACATGGGTACCAATGCTTGCTGCATGTATACATTTGTGCTTTTCTTCACTTCGATGTTATATAAAATAACTAATTACTCTAGTCTATATTGTTCTCATTAGTTTGACTGATGACCGTTTATATATTGAAACTTTTGAATGATGACACTGCAATTTTGCATGACGCACGTCATATTCTCCAAGCTCCTCAAGATACAGAATGAGCTATGTAAAAACGCATTTACCCTAATTTCACTCTCTGTATGTTACCTTATTTTTGGTTATACAATACCCACTGCAAGGTTTTCGATTTAATGTGATTGTTACATGTCAAATTTCAATGGTAAACAAACAGCATAATTGCCTACCGTTTCTCCTTTTCAATAGTCCGATCCACATATTATTCGGTCTGTATTCGTTCTTTATGCTCCGTAGAATAAAATCGATTTCATCCTGGCTGGCAAAGGAAGCAAGTTGGCTACCTTTCTTGTAGCATTCAAAGCTTGCCTCAGCCCAGTTTTTAAATGCCTCTGAGTTGGGATAGAAGCAATAGGCGCCGTATTCCAACCATTCATCCCCTGGGGGGCACCACCCCGGGGCCGGCTCTGTTGGTGAGGTGGGCGTTTCTGAAAGCAAATACAAAAAGAATTGTAAAAGATGAAGATAAAAAACAAATAGAAAACTTAAAAAGAAATAGAGAACTAAATAGCATGCGCTGACTGCTCTGATAGTGGTTCATCACCCTTCTTTACCAAACATACCCATAGAATTACACAAAGTAAACACACGGAACTAAGCGGGTGTTCCATAATTATATAAATCAATATTAAATTTCTATTCAGAAATAAACGAATAAAGGAAAAGCACGTACAGGAAAGTGGTGCGGTTCACTACGCACAAGAATAATGAAATTGTAACTACTTTAAACAGAATGGAAACCATACACGGTCAGACGAAAGGATAAGGTGAAAATTTTACTCACGGCACTTCAGAAGGTCTATTTCAAAATGATACATAAAGACTTCGATCTAGATACCGAGAAGTTCCACAAAAATTGTCGTAAGTTAATGCAATTTATACAGTTCATTCGCTTACCGGTAGTGGTCATACAGACGAAATGTTGTGGCTTCATACAGTTCAGATTCCTCCATGATCCCGCCGAGTTCATAATAACACAGGTCACCTCTCCTCCAACTTTGGGTTCGTTTTCATCCCAATTAGTGTACGTCATTGGCCAGTCGTTTACCCATTTGTAAGACTCCTTCGTAAAAAAGATAAAGGGCTCTCGTTTTTAAATTCCAACCCGGTAAATTTGAATGTAACACGATATTAGTGTGCTTGTGATTGAATTAAGGGATCTTGGATATTAACGAAAAAGTCCAAAACTAATGCAGCTAATGAAATTTCCTATTAACTTAAAGAAAAGGTCTNTATATATATATATATATATATATATATATATATATATATATATATATATATATATATAATATGGTAAAAGTTTTAAGTGGCATGAGATAAGCTTTTTTACGAATACGTCCGATTTTACTGAACATAGGAAAACACCGGTCGAAAAAGATTTCTCCATCGCAAATGTCTCAGAAATATTCATTTAGAGCTATGGTACGTACATAAATATCAACTTGCCCAATCCACATCCCACTGCCAAGATCATATAGGTATGTTATTCATTAGAATTAACTCACCCAACCCATATCTCTCAGTCCAATCCAAATAGGTCTGTTTCCAGTCAGCATCATGGCGACGAGCAAGTTTGCCTCAATTACCGCGTCGGCCACATAAGGCAAGAAAGCACCGTCATTAACACACTGTTCTTGGGCTTCTTGCCACGTTTTCTCCATAAGGTAGAGTTTGTAACACGTCTTGCCATCAAAAGAATAGTAATCAGGCTTACATACGCTTGAGGTAGGTGCTGGCGGCGTGGTCCATGGGGTCGAAATACTGGGATCTGGAAGACATATTTCTGAAGTCTTTGTTGTGCGAGTTTAATATAATACTAATTATCAGGTAATAAAGAGTTGCCTACTTTTAAAAAACGCACGTTTTCAGTTCTCTCCGTTTCAAATTACTTATACTGGTACTAATTATGAGCTTTATAAATTGTATATTTCAGTGAAAAGCGTACTACTGGGCATGTGTCTGGTGTTCTGTATTACACAGACATTTACTTCAAAGGCAAGAGGACGGCGATCGTACAAGAACGTGCGCAGTTATAGACGGGCGTTTTTGGACTTGTTTTTGCAGTGGATATCAAATAGCTTTTAAATCATATCCTTTGTTTATCACAGTAACACCAAATGCAATTTCCTTGAAACAATTATGGGCAATTGTTTTTGGGAAATTGAACATTTTTCTGGGCAGGTTGTGAATTTTTTCATTTTTTATTTTAGTGCACCCGACATGTACGGTCAAATTACCTTTCCATGTTTGGCAGATATATCCCAGCACTGTGGAGCATTTAACGTCGGCCCACTTCCCTAGGGTGTTCAGAGCAGAACTCACTTTTACACAGTCCTCGCTGTTAAACTTGAAAATAGATAATACTTACTCGCAAAACTTGTAGATAATACTTACTCGTAAGCCTTAAAACAAAATATGAATTGTAACGCACGATGCGTTTGTTGCAGTACCTTAGATTTCTTGACAACAAGTGCATAAACTAATAACAAAACAGAAAAAAAATCTAACAAATGCTACAGCAAAAGGGATGCCTATACAAATGTCTCTAAAAGTATATGTTGTGTGCCGGACGATACCCATATTGTTATTTATTAAGTGAAACACCCATTGTGACCGGAATGGTAGTCCACTATCATAAGTACAGGTTGGAAGTTACCTGGAAGTATCGGAGTTAGCATAGAGGGTATATGTGTGAGATAATACACTGTCACCCGAGGGATATATGCCATAACACCTCGAGCGTCAGCGAGAGGTGTTCATGGCATATATCGCGAGAGGGTGACAGTGTATTATTTGACATACATACCGAGAAAAATACAGTCATTTCATCCTAAAACACCCCTAAAACCGAATAAAGTGACCCTATATCACGCTCTAGATAGAGATGTTATACGGAATAAACTCGTTCACGTGCGCTGGTCACCTCCCGCAAAATTCTTACGTAATGTCTGACCAATTTGGTCAATTTTTACTAAACACTTGTCGTGGACGTTCAGCTGGCTTGAGAAGTATTTAATCAACCGTCGACACTGACCATGCACGTCTCAGCTGAGACACACCTAGCTGGGACTGCTGCGGAAACAAGGTCCCAAGGCAAAACCTCTACTTTTTAGTGACATTTCAGATAAAAAAGGAGCGTCGGACCGGAATATAGCCAAACTAATTTTTCACAAGTGCAAAGGAGAAAGAAATTTACTTTTTGGTGATATTTTTGTGACAACGAGGCAGTTTCGGAATATGGTCAAAATCGACGGATGTTAATTACAAGTTCACCTGGAGTAATAATTCTAGTTTTTTATTGTCATTTCTGACGACGAGGCGGTTACGGAATATAGTCAAATACAAACGGATGTTTATTTCAAGTCCATAGGAGTAATAATTGTACGTTTTGGTGACATTTTTTTACTACGAGGCGGTTTCGGAATATACATGTGCTGGTTTTCAGAGCATTCATGTGCTAAAGGGGAATACATTTGACTTTTACCGATATATCTGATAAAGAGGAAGAATGAACAGTTTAAAAACAAAAGGTAAATAACACAACCCTCGTTAAAAAGTTATAGATTTACAAATGATTTGTATGCACGTGTGGCTTAAATATAAACTAATTCCCGTTTTCAAACCATACCCATATGATATGACTTAGTGTAATAAAATGATAAATAATTATTGTTAAACGTGAAAAGTTTATGCTAATTTTTTTAAGAGCGTGAGAGATTTTAAATTTGTCTATTGGTAGGTATATAACGCAAGCAACGTCACTATTCTCTTGATGCCAAGAAGGTCACACGATCACTCTGTCTTTGGCTTTCAGCATTTAAGGTAAGAGACCTCGAATTCTAGACTACATCGAGGTTAAATCCGAGTTTTCCGAGAGTCGCTACGCAGAAATGTCGAGTGAAGCGAGACATTTTTGGGTAGCGGCTCGAGGTTGCCCTCGATCTTCACTGAAGCTTGCCTAAATGGACAGGCTTCAGTGATCATCATATCGCCACGGTCATATAACATCCCTAGGTATGTATATGACATAAATGTACAAAGTGCTGACATATTGATCACATACGGGCTACCATTCCTGTCACATAGACACAGCATTGTGGAAATTTCGTAAAAACAAGTCTTCTGACAGGAGAATAGAAATTTAATTCTTAAAAGAATAAAGAGAACCCTGACTTTTTTTAAAGCTGGCATTACTAAAACAATAGCATGCACTGAGAAAAAGCCAACATACACTCCAGGCTGCAGCCGGCTCGTTATCATCCCAGTTGGTGTATTCCAACTCTTCGTTCGTTTGCCAAGTAAAGAAATGCATTCTGTAATAATCACTCAGTCCTATCCAGTAATCTGTCTCTTTCACCTGTAGTTTACTAGTTATAAAAGCTGCAATAAAAAAGCAAATGTAAAAAGAGCAACAGATAATGGGCTGAAACTTTGTTATGTTGGCTAGAGTTACGTTTTGCAGCGAATGCAGTGAGCTGATACCTCTCTTTCCCGCAAATGAAAATAATGCAAAGCATGTAATTAATTAAGATACGACAAATGCGTATACATGTACCATCTACATCTTACATTGCTCATTATATCACAAATATTTAAGGAAAATCGCCAAAAGAGTAATGATATTGTTACATTTGATATATGGTTCAGAATTGCGTGAATTTGACGTCATACTTTGCCTTCTACTTACCCTGTTCCACGGGGTTGGTTATACTGGCGAATGAATATTGGTTTCCCAACGCTGCGCATGCTACTTTGGCATCTGCCCAATTCTTCCGGTCCGTAGCCACCTCACCAATAAACTTATAGCACCTGTTACCTGCCAGGCATAAATGTGTGATATTTTTATATTTTCATTTCTATTTTACTTTAAGAAAATCAAAGGCAACGAAAACAGCATTTAGGGCCTACATAAAAAAAAAAAAAATAGCACGCAAATCATTAAAGGGATAATAACTCTTCGTGTGAGATCCATATTTCACAATAAAAACATTGTAAACAACTCAGAAATATAATATATTCTGTTTTAACACAAAAACGGCAGTTATAGCTATTATTCTGATATCTGAGCTTGTCATCGGACCACGTGACCTCTATAGATGGCTATCACGCTGTGATAATTTCTTAAGAGATTATAACAAAAAAAAAAAACTTTTTAGAAAAAAGGGACCAAATTTGAATGTAGAAATGGATTCATTAACCATCAGTAAGTATGGGAAAATTGCTATTTACTCCAGGAAAATTCATTTTTTGACCAAAACGAACAGTCATTATCTCTTTAAATGTTTCCTCAGAATCGGAAGTCACACAGATGCTTTTATAGTATTTAAGCCAGTAGTGAAATGCAGATTTCAGGATGCAAAATCACGATGTCAGTCTGAGGAAACAGAAAAAAAGATTTTTTATTTTCTTTCTTGTTATTGATATCAAAAATGGAAATAGGTATACAGACCTATGCCCTCAAAACCGAGTGGACAATACCCCTGCACTGAGGGCGTTGTTGGTAATGTCACTGGGGTGCTGCTGTCTTTGTGTTTCTTGCAGATAAAAGGCAGTGAGTTACCACAGTTTTCATCATTGAACATTCCTGAAAACATCACCAGAACAGATAACATATTACATAGACTTCGACAGCTAAATAATTACTAGAGGATTTGAGGGGGGGGGGGCAGGCCTCAAGTTGAAAAACGTTATTTACCCTGGTCAAATTAATTCAAGAAGCTACGGGTAGTTTTATTACTTTCACCACTCCCCCTCTCATGCGTTTTGCAAAAGATAAACCGTTCTATCTACTCCTGGCCACGTTCCACGAAATAGCTTGTCCTACTCAGAGCCAGGAACAAAATAAGTTAAAGCCATTCTTCTTAATTTCTATTTTATGGATTTCAAGTGAAACGCCACTTACCGGCCTGTGAGGTATCTTTTCCTGTATATATACTAACACATCTCTCATCCCCGTATTGAGAGTTGGGTTCGTTTTTAGCCCAATTCACATAATTCATCGGGGTGCCATCTGTCCACCTGGAACATTGGAGGTAAAGGTGTGTATGCTTCTGGTAAGAAATGACCAAATAAAGAAAAAAATAATAAAATAAATAGCTAAATTATATACAATAACAATGAAACAACAATCAGTAACTACTTTTACGCTATTTATTTAAACCAGAGGCCCAAGCTTTTCTCACGAATCCAGCATTAAGACAACAAAAACAGCCTACATTTATGAAAGATATCCATGAAAATTTCAAAATACATTTGTATGATGAAGAAATAAGACAGGATCCCATACGCATATCCCTGGAGATTAAAATCGCTGGCTCCAATCCATAACTTAAGATGAGCACTTTTGCTGATCAAAGTGGTGATGAAGTTCGCCTCTCCTGGGTTGTGAATACTCAGTAAATCACCAGCGTTCTCAAGACACCACTGGCGGGAATCGAACCAGGATTTGCTGTGGGAACTGTCTGTGTAATCGCCATAGAAGTAACAGTGGTCTCCAAAGGACCTCCACTTGTCTCCGCAAATAGCTGTGTCTAAAAAAAAAGCGATGAAATGAAAAAAAAAAATGAAAATTCATTAAACTACTATGACCATGTGAAATAATGTTGAAAGGGTCGCCAGAAAATGTGCAATGTTAGGCGCAATTTAATGGAATTGATGGAAGAAAGGTACCTCCATTTAATGGCCATTTTGATATGCATCAAACGGATAATTTACGAAATCGGGTTTTGCATATTGCAAGAATATGCCTCTTATCTACTAAAAAAAAACCCCTTCAGCTGTAGCCATTCGAACAAAATAAATGAAATTTTCTCTGATGACGACAAAATAAATAAACGTGATATTCTACGCAGTGACGACGAAGTGCACGAATGCTATCGTCGCATTTTTAATGTATGGTGCAATATTTGTATCATTTAAATGATTTAAAATGCCACATATTTATTGATTATGATGGCTTTGTCTTCGGTACCGTACGAAGATTCAGGGAAGGGGTATTATGTTGGCTCTTAATTGTCTTCTTGATCATGATCACGGTCTTTGGTGTCTATAAAGAGTGCTACAACATAACAGCAATACATGGGTGTGCCTTTATCGTGCTTACCAGTGCCTGTCGGTGTGGTTGTACTAGGCAGTGGGGTGGCGTCATATGGTGCCTTGCATATCCATCCCCTGGCGGTGGCGCAGTCATCGTCGCGCCATTTCCCTGTGAGGGGGTGGAAACTGACGCACCTCTCGCGGCCGTTGTGGTTGTCTGGCTGTCCCACATCCCAGCTGGTGTAGTTGCTCTTAGTTCCGTCGGACCACGTGTGAGATACTGAAGACGATTTTTATTGACTGATATGTGATAACATTTTAAATCTACAGATGTTCAGATGCTATTTTACGCTTTCCAAAAGCAGCGAAAATTTTGTCCAAAAATCTTGGAGCGCATTACTTTGAGAACTTACCAAACATATATCGTAATCAATTACAAAAATGTAAATCATTATCAAACTTTAAACAGTTAATGTAACCATTTTTAAATACAAAACACACACACACACACACACACACACACAAAGAAATGTCAGAAGTTGGAAGTTCAAGGTACATTATATAGAAAGTATCATTTAACATCGTCCACTTACCTGTGCTGTCTTCTTCTAAATGGTATCCAATCCACACGTTTCTTTTATTCACCGAGTATCTACAAATATGTTTCTGTATGCATAGAAATTCTTTAGATTGACAATGTATCATAAAAGCTATAATTGCGAATTTTTCCTCGCTAAATCGTACTTTATACATTTCACCTTCTGTTATTTGGTAGAGCAAAGGGGAAAATCAAATCACTTATGCCACATGGAGTCTGGTGGAAATATTCAAAATTGTTTGAATGTAAGATCAATGTTATATATTGGCCGTATAAACTTCAGAAAAGTTAATTTAATGTAAATCAAAATATATGAAAATGTGATTGATTACTTATAGTAATATCCTATAGAACTCATAAACCAGTTCCTCTCCTCGTCGCTGTGAAAACTGGCCAGGTCGCCTCCTTCAGCTCGGCAATAACTTCGTGCCTCTGTCCATGATTTCATGTACTGGCCAGACGTGAAGAAGCCCTGAAATACGTCCTCACACGTGGTACGTATTTTATTATTATTATTTTTTTCATTTTGACTCTCTCAGAACACCGTACCAAAGGTCATCCCGTGGACCAGACAATAACGTTTAAATGAACCGTGCACATGAAGTAACTTCATACGTACTATTCATGGGTCATTTACATTTATAGTGTCTTATATTTAAACAATGTTTTCACACTCACTGTAATCTGTATAACTGTATTAAAATGCATCTTTAGGAAGTATATCAATTCTAACGGCATAAAAGAGTATAATATGTCCTTTTTAACATATGATCAAGAGCTATCTTCTAACAAAACAAAAGGACAAAAACACCATAGAGCCAATTGTGACGATTAAGTAAAACAACCATTGCCTGCAATTGCAATTATCAACGAGTATACTCTATCTGCATAAAACCATACAATATTTTACTGCCACCTTCCCCGTATCCCTTTTACCATCATTTTGGTCATTACCTGCAACTCACTTACAGTGTGAACTGACCGGATCTAGACAATACCATACCTTATAACATGTAAAATCTCTAATGTACCACCCGTCCCTGCAAGCCGGAGCTGGAGTGGTCGTAGGAGGCACTGGAAATATTAGGGTGCAAGGTCAGCAAAAGGATCAAAGTCAGTAGCAGATTCAAGGTTTAAAAAGAATTGAAATGTTTTTTCGTGCTGTTTGCCGGTATCGCAGATGTAAATTTACATTTATTTTTGAATGCGTTGCTTTTCAGCTTTTTTTTGCAGATACCGTCCTCCATAATAAATAATTTTGATCAACCGTTATAAATCAGTATGTCCTGGCAACTTTGTGTGAAAAACTTCCAAAACCTTCAACGCACAGTTTTACTCTATAAGTTTTCTAATATACCTGCATTCTTTGACAAAGATTGTAAACTGGTACTTTATATGCATATTGAAATTATTTTCATTTATGAAAACAATAACATAAAAATACGGTATCACAAACAAGGCAGCAAAGCTGTCAAATGTACAGACAAAAAACAGGAAATAACTATGCACAAAATAGGCTACTGTCAATTCTGATGCAAAAATACATTATATTAAACTACAAATTCAACATTTAATTTTAATTATCCTCAA